TCTGAATTGTTTTTTTAAACAATTGCATCTTTTGTTTCAGCAATTGTTTTTACAACCACATCTCACAAAACCTTGCTTTGATTGAGAGTCTTTAGCAGCAACAGTTCTTAGTGTTAACTTTTTGTTCTGGAACATTCTCCATGTCTATGAACCTATGGTCAGCTACTAGGAATTCATTTCTTGCGTACAATTTTTCAAGTACACCTGATAGTGTTCCTAGCTGATAGAGGTTACTGTATTCTTTCCATTCCATAACAACAGCCATCACGTTTCTTGGTGCAGCACGCCCTCTGTCTACATGTGGAATTCTAACCAAAACGTTTTGCCCAACACTGACAGGAACAAATTTTTTGTTGGACCTCTGCGGCTTGCCTTGTCTGGGAAGCGGATGATGCTTCACGTGCTTTGGTAATTTTTCCTTGTCGAATGCAAATCATACATGGTTTTTCAGATGTGCTGGTACACTGCAAAAAACATGTATGATATTGCATGATTTTCCTATTCTACATCTGAGCTGTTAGACGTCTACATTAGAATTGCCATTCAATATGTTTTCCAGCTCTTCTTCTCCAGTAGTACTTTGAAGGACCTTATGAGGTATATTTGAATCGAATAGGCCATTACGTATAGGGACCTCAAACATCGCCTCATACGGACTTCTGTTTATAAGTCTATGAAAAGATCTGTTTTTTTAGCTGAACAAATCGCAATCCGTTAGCCCAATTAGTGCTATCTGCCATCCAAGATACCAAAATATCCCTAACGTCCTGGTTTGCCGTTTCTACACTTCCCTGGCTTTGAGAGTACCTTGGTTTACCGTGAATTATTTTAGCTACGAACATATCAGCAAGCTCATTTATGACAGCTGCTGTGAACTTTCTTCAATTGTTACTTTGAAGCACCTATTATACAAAAAATGTCTAAAAGATTGTAAGCTACCTTCGCAGCTCTTTTAGATTTTAAAGGTTTCAAAAACACAAATTTTGTCAGGTGGTCCTGATGATTTAAAATAAACTTATAATCTTCGTCTGGTTCTGATTGCATTTCTATAAGATCCACCTGTCCTCTTGAGTCCATGTTGTTGCTCAAAATTGGCCTAACCACTGGCTCCTTTTCTTTATTTTTTTTTCTTCAACTGGCAGTGTCCACATAAGCGTAAATAAATATCAATTATATCACGCGTAACATTACAGTATTTTGTTTTAAGTTCTTTGTCCATGCACAGAGTTCTTTTATGTCCCGTATCAATGTGGGCTTTGTGAATAATTTCTTACAATTCATCTATATGGCAAAAATATTTCATTTCATCTTCAGTAGAAGTACGCTTTTTTAGAAGTTTTTCTACATCCTCAACGGTTGAAATGTCATACTTCTTAATTCATCGATAATCCAGTGATGTAAGCAATTCTCCTTGTCTTCTTTTACCTAGAGAAACTTGTATATCGGATAATAATTCATAGAACTGGAGTCACCATGTATTCGATTTACTTTCCTGGATACAAGCATTCAATTTCAATTTAAACTCTCCTTCACTTCTAGCGGACATCGCAATATACAGGGTGACAAATAAGTACCACGACAAACTGAAGGAGAAGATAGGCTTTGGACTGACCTCCCAAATAACAAAAACTTACCTATATAAAAGTGTCACCTTTTTTGAGATATTGAATTTTAATTTAAAAAAAATTAACCTTTTCATATGTGGTCTTTAGCTGCATGTATAAATAAGGTTATACTTTGTTCATTTTTCCTATAAAATACTTCTAGATGGTTGCTTTATCATATACAAATGCAATGTAGTTAAAGGATAATAAGGAACCATGATCAAATAAGGACTATTTTAGGATTTATAACCTTCTGATATTTTTTCCTCAACTTTGTCCATCTGTGGTGAAAGAAAAATCTACCGGGCTATAACTGCATTATATTGAATAAAAAGATTGCTCATTGAATACAGATTTCAGAAAGACACCACACGAAGTATTTGGAACAGAAAAAAGTGATAGCTGCTTTTCTGACTGACACACACTACAATAACTATTGTTGTAACTATTGGATTTAAATTCAAGTTGCACTGGTTACCGATCAGTGACATGCTAAATAGTACAAAGCTACATTATTATTACCTGCTTCTGATGTAATTTTATGAAAGTTGAGGAAACAATATCAGAAGATTATAAATCCCAAAACAGTCCTTATTTTATCATGGTTCCTTAACATCTTTTAACTACATTGCATTTGTATATGATAAAGCAACTACCTAGAAGTATTTTATAGAAAAAATTAACAAAGTATAACCTTATTTGCACATGCAGCTAAAGACCACAGATGAAAACGGTGACACTTTTATATAGGTAAGTTTTTGTTATTTGGGAGGTCAGTCCCAAGCCTACCTTCTCCTAAGTTTGTCGTGGTAGTTATTGGATATCCTGTATAAGACAAATTGTAAATATAAGAGCACCACAAAGATACGTGTCAACACGATTAAAGCGCTGACTCACACTGGCGCTCCATGCGATTGCGACGTGCGAAGTCCCGCAAAATCTTACATGACAGTGTCGCCGAACAGCATTCGATAAGCTTTGGTCGTTTCGTATTTGCACGATCCTAGGTTTGGCTTCTTGAAGACGGCCGAAGCCCGAATTCCATTTGAATTTCGAGCTTTGGTCGTTTTAAATTTTTCAATCCTAACATTGAGCAAAAAAAAACGACATTTGGCCGTGTTCGGGCTTTGCGCCCAACATATATATCAGTCATCAATAGTTCTCTGTACCATGGCCTAAATGTGAGTAATCGACTAACAAATGCTTGGTTACAATTTGGATACATTGAAACCTGGTTACAATGTGGCTACTTTTTCCATTTAGGTTGGCTACATTCGTGAGAAAATGTCAGGTACTCTCTTGGTGCACTCACTCTAAAATCTCACTAATATGGTTACCGCCATTCGTCCTGGTCAGCGATATCGTTCTTATACCAAACGTTATTTGTCTTATTCATCTCATCAATATCATCAGTATATATGCCTTTCACATTACTTTCAGATGTCTTACTTTTTTGCCTTTATGTTTATTCTGTCTCAAAAAGGATTGAAGATTTATTCAAATAACAATATCCTATGCTGCTATATGTGGTCAGCAAAGTTTTGAAAAACTAAGTACATCATTTTATATGCACTTATGAGCTTGGTTTTTATATACAAGTATATACTTCATATCAACAAACAACTATACAATCCATTTAACCCACAACGTGCACGTGTCTGAAGCTTAGCGCTGAACGCTGTGGCCTTGAGGAAATACGAAGCGAATGTTGTCAGTGTCTTCCTTCATGTAACGTCCGCCGTTCGTCGAGAGCTGCGACATCAATAATGCATGAAGGAGGCAAGCAAGGATATCATTTTGGCTGGCAGTGTCGACCCACTACATTAGAACTTTCATAGAAGTTCGCCTGTTGTTCTAAGATATGAATTAAGTACTGTTTTCATCTTTCGCAGCGATATTGTGGTTATACAGGATGTAATGTTAAACACTGAAACCCTACCAGCGGCTTCTGTGGTTGCGGCAGTCTTATCTTTATTCGAGTGTTTGGTTTGCCGGATCATAAAAATTGCAAAGAATATATGATTTCATAAGTGTTATGTTCAAAGGAATTGTGATTAGAAATCGGAAAACGAAAAACATTACATATTTTGAAAATCGGTGTTGTCGCAGATTAACTATGATATATACCTAGTTCAAGAGCAATTTCAAAAAACTTATATTTTTGAACTTTGAAAAAGGTTGCAGTGCCAGCTGAAACATTACTAAATTAATCCATCATATAAGGTTTTATCTATTGTCTAGACAAGAAGTGGTAAATGGGTCACTTTTCCATTCAGTCTTGCCATTTTGCGTCTTCAACCCACGAACTTTGTAAAAGGACACCTGCTCGAAACAGATTAGATTTACAATTCTGTTGTGTGTAGCGTAACTATTTTAGTACAGTTCTTTGGAAACATTATAACAGCCAGGATTTATAAATATTAGAGTCGTCTTTTTGGGGCAAAAGGCGGAATGCACTCCTAAAAATTTTTTAATTATAAAGTTTTAATTTACACTAGGATATTGGAATAATAATGTTCACCTGATAGGAGCTAAATAGGTCAACTTTTTGATGTGCGTATTCTGTTTTTCGAAGTGCCAATAGACGGAGATCAATGGATCAGAAAAAATTACTGTACTTTTTTTTCAGTTTATCCGAAATCTGAGTAACATAACGCAGTTTTGTGAAGTTGATCTAAAAGGCATTTAAATTACGAAGCGTTTTCCACGTTTAACCATTAATTATTGTTACTCCTGTCATTCCTGAAAGCATAGTGTTATCCAATCGTTTTTGGGTCAGTTCCTTTTTTCTAACCAACTGAATGAGCTCTATTGTCTAATAATATTTTGTTTAGAATGATTTAGTCATTCACGTACAAACATTTGTATTCCTAGATAACCAAAAAGTTTGAAAGTCAAGCCAAACCATTTCATATAGAATAGGCATTTTACGGAGGCTCATAATATATATAATATTGCAATAAGAACAGATAATGCAATCCTAGTGACTGGAATTATATGCGCATTCAACACACATCCTTATTATTTGCAATATTATAAGAAACATACAGGTCATAATGCATTATAACATTATATCAAACAGGGAATAATAAATATGACGAATTTTATCTTCACGAATTCACTTCGAGACAATTATCATTAAATTAACATGAGTAACCATTGTTTTAAATATATACTAATACAGTTATTCTTAGCATACACCTTGAACATATCTATCCCTCAACGTGATTTTCCTTAAAACAATTTTGTTGAGTAAAATCTATTGATCACGTGCATCTTTCTTAAACCATAAATCATTTGGTCATTCCCATTTTAATATAGTACGAAAATACGGTCTGCCTAAGTAATTTATTCTGTAGTTTATGATCAAAAATTAAATACTGTTATTTGTTTCAGCTGTGAAGGTTGCAAAGGATTTTTCAAAAGGACGGTACGAAAAGATTTGACATACGCTTGTAGGGAAGAAAAGAATTGTATTATTGATAAAAGACAAAGAAATAGGTATGTAAATGTAATATTTCAAGTTCTGTATTGAAAGATTAAATCTCTAGATCTGAATACAAAATTGATAGAAAACATTGTTTTTTGAAATTTAATTGAAAATTGTATATGATATATGAATTTATGTTCATTCTATTTATAAATTCTAGTATCCAGAAAATATGAGAGATGCATCATCAGTTACGAGATTTGTACCATTTCCGTGGTAACAATATAATCCATTAATCTGAATTATTTTCCTATGAAACCTACCACATGCGACATCTAATGATGTATTTATGTATCTACAGGTGCCAATACTGCAGATACCAAAAATGTCTCGCAATGGGTATGAAACGAGAAGCGGTTCAAGAAGAGAGGCAGCGAACGAAAGACAGAGATACATCGGAGGTTGAATCAACGTCCACGTTGCAAGCAGAGATGCCAATCGAGAGGCTACTGGAGGCAGAAAAAAGGGTAGAGTTCCCTGATGTGCCTGAGGTAAACTAAGTTCCTGAATGATAAGCATAAAGTAATAGCTTAACATTTTTACTCGAAACTCAGTGCTATTTTTTACAGTCGGTAAACGAAGGGCGATCATCCTCAATCTAGCCTATGAATGAAAACACAGATGACGAAGTAAATACATTTTGGTTGTCACTGAGGTTTTTTTATAAGATACGGAGAAAAATAAATAATTTAATTATTTAAACATATCTGGTCGGATTGAAGGAGATGGTCATAAAGATAACAAATGGATATGTTGTTGCTATTTCTTAGATTTATTGAGATATTTATAGATTTTTAATAAAAGAAATTTTACTTTTCACTAATTTTTTTTGAATATATATCGTTTGACATTTTATCACTATGGACGTATTACATCTTTTTTCTGTCAAACATAGAAAATATTACGGACACGTTTATAGAACATATTTACAACCCAACATAAGTTTCCGAAATGGCATTAAAAGAGGAACCTTACTAAATGTTGCACATCCTTTTTATCGAGAATTCCATATTTTTGAGTTACTGCTCATAGACCACTGGAATTAAATACATGTCTTAATTATTTCCAACAGTGAAATTCTTTTAGGGACTGTCAGATACTGTCATTCAACCAATTAATGATAAGGTTATTGTTGTTGTCATTTAGCCTACTTAGTCAACAAGTTGGCATGTTATCGTTTTTTTTGTTGTTGATATTTTTACGTAATGAGCCTGCCGGAAAACCGGAAGTATTTAAAATACATAGTGAATATATTTAATCACAAAGATTCCAAATTTTTGCAAAGGTATGAGGTATAATACTATGACTTTTCAACGACCTTGATACACCAAACGATTTACAACCCGCTTGACATTCCACCAATACCATATAGTTGGAGTACGCAATTTATGACATTTTGGATGTCAAAAAATGCTGATCTAAATGGTTAGGGCTGATCTATTTGAGGTCATCCTGAAAAGTCGAGCTTTCAACACACTGATGTTGGTCTTTATTTTTTTTCAAGTTGAAACGCGCCAATCCTGCAACCAATTTTCAGCAAAACCTTATGTTACGTATCAGCTGATGGCACATCATCACTCTCAGCGTTGTTCCCATTTATCTTTATCGATAGATAGACTTAGCGTTTTAGGGACAAATTTATACAAAATAAAACCTTGATAGTAATGTCTTAAATCAACTTCTTAAATCTCATTAACATATTTTTTGCTCACATAACCTCTGTTCACAGAAGGTCACTTTTAGTACCTACTTTTTTGATCATCTGAGATCACTAAAGCACTCCGAAAATTCTAATTCATTTTCTTCGGGGGTATTTTTTGACACATAAAAAGATTTTTGAATCGCACGTCCAATAAAGGGTACCAATAGCTGCATCAATTAATGATACTTTAGGTAGCAGTTCTAGAGTAAAATAAAAACAGTTATAGAATATGAATGAATTCTGCTTTTGTGTGAGCATCAAAGCCGTCATATTATCTACAGCACTTCTGTGAAAACTGGCAGCATCACTCATGTGTGTTAACGTATTCGGTAAAAGCGCGTGCTTTATGAATAAGAGACACATCTCCTCTGCAGACAATTGTCTAACCTATATCTATTTATAGTGCAGCGCACATGCAGTACATTTTCCGTCTGATATGCCGGTATATCCAATAAACAACGCAATGTTTCCAACGAACAAGTCCAATGTTTATTAGCATACGAGTTTCGAGCTCAACGCACCAACGACCTTGCCCCACGCAATTTGATTATTTTCCATCATCGGTCGGTTTCACTAATGTTAAATATAATATTTTTCGGTTCTGATGTTTCCTAAACTAAATTATCCTTTTGAGTCTAATAGTCCCAAGTAAATATTTTGGATAAATATTGGGTGCAATACTTGAGTTCCGGTTGAAGGGTATCTGTCAACGAGTCTTTTTACTGTGGTAGAGTTCGCGATATGGCTGACCGATATAAAAATTACGACTTTAACATGTCTCAACTGATTGAACTCAATGCATGGATAAACAATAATAACAAAGTAACTTCCTTTCTGTTTTTTAAGTAGGACACGAATTGGATTAACGACAATATTATACTTTTGATTAGAAGTTTTGGCGAAATATTTTCAGACGATTTTATTTTCCGCATTTTCAACAATGTTAAACTTGATGCAACCAAAACAGTTCAAGTTGGTTGCAACAGGAAGATAACGCGGGAATATGAACTGCAATTTTTCGAAACCGGGTTTTACGAAACTGTTAAAATTAAAAAATGTGTTAAAGATTTTTTTTTCCACTGCTAACCCGAGAATTCACTATTATTTACTGCAAATTCGGAAATAATTTTAAAAATTCCGTTGACCCATATGACCAATTGCTCTATGATCTTGGGGCAGGGATGCTCACACAATTAACTGGCAATTTGAAACTCGGCGGAATAATCGGTAAAAAAATGGATAAGTGCACAAAAGAACATATGTATATTTCTGTTCATCTTGTCTCCTAAAATTTCGCAATAATTCAATGATAAAATGTATCGGTGGTTTGAATAATTTTGAAGCTGCACACTACATTAAAAAAATATGAATTGTCATTAAGTTTATTTTTCGCTGCCAACTTGAGACAATCTAATTTACCTAAGTAACCAATGATAATAAAAATACACTTAGGTAAATAATGAATACCATTTAAAATTGTGTTTAGCAAATCCTTCCACTTTTACAACCGAGCCTGATGTTCTAAAATAAAAATATATATGCCATGTCGCTTGTGCTCGTTGCATTACCCAAAACTTGTTAAATATGTAATAAAATGGCTGAATGAAAAACTAAGTTTGTATACTATTTCTACTTTTTCTGTAACTCCCGAGAGAAAGCAGGAATCTGCGCGTATGGGTAACGTTTCTCATACCAGTCTAAACTGAAAAAAAGGCATGCCGAGTATCACTCCAGAGAGAGTTCTATATCTAACACTAATTTTGTATGCATTATCCTAGTCAGATGGCACATGACATTTTAACCTATTCCGAATAGATGTTATTAGTGAAAATATCTATTCATACCTCTGTGGATGACATTTTTGTCGTCGTAAAGTGCTCGGCCATTACTAGTTTTCATTCCCATACAACATAAAAGATGAAGGTGGCAACCCCCTACTCTGCCTTCACAAATTTGCAATATTCTTATCCCTTCCGATTTAACCATCACTGTCAATTCTCTTCATCATTCAATTAAAACTTTTAATAAGCTGATATTTATTTTTACTTTCAGGGCACCATAACTAACATGTTCCAGGCTGCCAACAGACATCTCATGCAACTGATAGAGTGGGCCAAACTAGTGCCCCATTTCATGACTCTGCCGATTACGGACCAAGTGTTATTGTTGCGAGCTGGCTGGAATGAGTTGCTCATTGCGGAGCTAGCTCACAAGTCTATTAACTCACAGGACTGCATTTTGCTGCATAATAATATTACCATTACCAAGTAAGTAATTGAAAAGATTAATGTTCATTTCATTGGGAAATGGAAGTCAAACCTTGAGATATCATACGGGATTATAACAAACAAAACATATTTCGTAGTCAAGTAGCCGTTCAATTAACAGACTAATTGATTGGGTGATAATAGTATCGTTATTTAAATTCACTTTCTGAAAATACTATAATAAATTTAACAAAGACTGTCGAGATTGTTGTTGTATCTCTTCAGGCATTGCTATGTTTCATATCGAAGATCAATAAAAGGTATATTTAAATCACACAAGCAAATTATTATACTGACAGTGTCGAGCATAAATGTGGAAGACACATACACTGATGAGAGCATTTTCAAGGCGGTGAAACAAAACTAAAAACCGTATGTATGTGGGCTTAAACAAATAAATAAGTATGAGAGAGGGAGATGGGTGTATGAAAGTAATTTGTGTAGTTTTACTGAGACCCACAAAAACCGTAGAGATAGATAATTATTGTCCATCCAAGTAATTTGCCTAGCTGTTTCATTGAATGACTGAATGTCATTTAGGTCGCTAGTTGAACGGCGCTTTTAGTAAAGAGGCTAAACTGTTGATCGAACAGCTAACTAAGCCGTTTGATAACAGACCAGGCTATTAAACTAAATTGCCTATCGACAGCCTCCGCAAATACGTTTAATTTACTTTGTAAAACAGGGTTTTTAGCATGATTTTGACTGACACCTCAACATAAAAATATCTATTGTAAATAGTACGTCACGCAATTGTGGAGTAAACTCATCCAGTGTTATGGTGAGCTCATGTTGTTGTTCTTGACATCATGAAAGCGTTCGATCAGCTGTGGCACGCTGCCCTCTTAAGCAAACTACCATCCTATAGCCTCCCAGAAGAGCTTTGCAGATGGGTGGCTGACTTTATATCTGACCGCAAAATATCCGTCGTAATTGACGGGTTCTCCTCTTCATCCCACAACGTCAACGCGGGTGTTCCCCAGGGATCGGTCTTGGCTCCGACACTGTTTCTCTTACATATCGACCTCATTTCCTGCATGATCAACCCAATCCACAGCTTCGCTGATGACAACACTCTACATGCAGGAATTCAGAGTGACAAGCCGATCTCCGCCGCTGAGCTGGAAAAAAGAAGACTAGCGACGACTTCCTCTCTGGCGAGAGACCTGGAGGTTATCACGGCTTGGCGACACAACAATCTTGTAGTTTAATGCTTCCAAAACACAGTACTGTACTTTGACAAACAAAAAGCGTCCTAGCGCTCATCCGATTTCTATGGATGGCCGAGTTCTGCTAGAGCCATTCATTTCGGCTGGTCGGAGTTCAGATCACCGAGGACCTGATCTAGCACGAACACATCTTGGCAATAGTGGCAGCTACTGGGAAAAAGCTAGGTTATTTGTTTAGGGCTGAGAAATACTTTTCTCCGCATGACCTTCTGACTCTATACAAAGCCCAGATATGGCCTAGCCTCGAGTATTGCTCACACGTTTGGGGTGCTGCCGCCCCGACTACATTATTTATGCTCGATGCTGTCCAGAGCACGGCGGTCCGACTTATTTTCTAGCGTATTACAATTTTTTGACAGACTGACTATTAAAAATGCTAATTTTAAACATTACCGTTTACTCACGAATATAATGTTGAGCTGTCAATATTTTAACCAAACAAAATCTTTCAGAATCCATATAAAGATGGTTAGCTTGAAAGGCTTAATTAAATAAATATGTTCCTTTAAACGTGATTATCCAGCAGTGATAATATAAAACTACTTATAATAATCTATTAGGAAATAAATCGGTTGCACAAGTGACAGAACAAACTGTAAACGTTTACAATAGGATAACCTGTTGCAAAACACAATGTTTTGATTATAATATGTGTATTAATAACTTGATAATAAATTGTCTGGCGATGTTTCGAAATGCAGATATTTAGTCATTTAGTTGTATTGTGAAATTCCATCATCTACTGAAATACATCTTTCCAGTCACAATAATTTTAAAATGCACAAGTTCTTTTCAACCAAAACATCTTTATGATGTCTTTTTGTCTTATTAAAGCGAATCCGATAATTAAAACGATATTTGTTGGAATATTAACATTACCCTATAAACATCTTGGTTGGTTTGATTTCGGTATCACTATGGAAAGGTTTCTGGAACCCTTAATGTCCTACTCTGATATGTTGCAGTGTACCTGAACGCTGTGTGCAACCGATATGCGTCAATGAAATTTTGCTGTGTAATGTTGCAAAATATCTCTAGATCTGTTTTCATTGAAACGTATCTGTTGCTGTACTTGAAACATATCAGAGTAGGACATTAAGGGTTGCAGAAACGCTAGAAGGTACTCACGCTTAGATTGTCGAGATCAGTCTTTCTCAAATAATAGCACGTCTGTACTACAGCATTTAGGTTTTGCCTCCGTGTTTGCTTATTTTTTGCACTCTTTCATTTCTGAACATATTTCAGTGCATGAAATAAATAAACGTTTCCCTACTATGTTAATATTCAACTTATTTTCCAGATCAACAGCTCACTCTATAGGGGTAGGTGTGATATATGAAAGGGTACTATCAGAAATTGTAGGAAAAATGAAAGAAATGAGGTTGGATAAGACAGAATTGGGATGCTTAAGAGCCATCATCCTCTACAATCCAGGTAATTTGATGTTTTTTCATTTCATTATAAACGCGGAGTTTAGGGAGCAAGAAGTTTCCTGTACTTGTAAAGACGTATATGTACAATTAAGAAAACGTGATCATCTTTACTGATTGAATCCCAGCAATCCTTGACAATTTTTTGAAAAGTCTAACTCGTACTGCCCTTTCGACGTAATATTACTCATTATAATACACCATGTTACATCTGTTTCCCTGGCCGATAATTAGAAGCACAAATGGAAAAACTAATTTGTTTTCGCTACTTGAAAGTCGTTCAGACTGGCTTAGACAATCTTTTGCATATGGTAAAACGGTGATTTTTTCCAAACTGAGATTTCACACAGTTTGTTCCCTAGGAAAAGTTTATCCCTACTGAAAATTATCTGACCTGATGATATTCAACAATCAGTTCCGAACAGCTCCGAATGGTTATCTACAGCGTAATCTGCTATTTTTACTAGGTACGATTTCAAAGCTCTAGCCACTGAATTCTGTTTTAATTTTCAGATGTGCGAGGCATCAAATCCGTCCAGGAAGTGGCCATCTACCGCGAAAAGATCTACGGCGTTCTGGAGGAGTACCTTAGGCGGACGCGGCCTGACGAACCGGGTCGATTTGCGAAGCTGCTGCTACGTTTGCCCGCCCTCCGATCAATCGGCCTCAAATGCCTCGAACACCTTTTCTTCTTTCGCATGATCGGCGATGTCAGCATAGACTCATTCATCAAGGAAATGCTCGAACCGCACTCAGATTCGTAATGAGATACGGTTTACGAGATGTGACATAGGTAATAGGTGTTAACAGTCATACATTGACAGCTGGCAGTAAATGCACCAATGACGCTTCGCAATGATATGAAGCAAATCTCATTCCACTTCATATATAGGGTGGCATGTAATCGATGCTTCAAAAAACAATCCTGGATTAAACTTGTGAAAATAATCTTGCGCCAAATATCAATTAATACCATAGGTAGCGAGTTAAAAATTTAAAGCCATACCATTCCATTATTCTTAATTATGATAAAGTGTGGTTAAGTGAAAATAGTACTCACATTTCTTCGATTAATAGATATTTAAAACTAGATTGCCATATCTTATCCTCTGGATTAAGTGGAAGTTTGATGGATGGATCGAGTCTTTGCGTCAGTAACGTCGATGATGTATTTCCTGTTATTTACTATTCTATTCAAAAAAGTATAAACTGTCTGCAGATTTTGGATCTGTTACCTAATGAACATAAAAATTAAATTATGGAAAACCCTTGACAACCGATAGATGTATATTTCAGCTCCTCTGAACTTTAGGTATCGTCAAAAAATATACAAACTGTAGATGAGAGATAATACTTAAAATTAAGTAAATATAACCTATAAGAGACTTATTAAATATATATTCTTTGCAAATCTGTGATCATATATTTTCAAAAAATAATCGTACTCTATTGTTTTTCGGTAAGAGTATTTTACAATATGCTTAAATTTGATCCTTTTGGACTGAAAAATATATTTCTACATTATATACCTTATATTTATTGTTGAATTCGTCGAAAAGATTTAGTACATTTTATAGGGCAGATCACAGCTTTTTTAAACCCATTTAAAAAACACGCTAATTATTTTCTAGTATCATTAGATTTCCAGGGAGATGGGATTTGATGTAACATAACAATCGAAAATCTGTAATTTCTGTGTTGATGCATTTGAAATATTTTTGGCAGGTATAAAACAACTGTTTCAATTTATTGAAAAGTGGTTATTTAAAATAGATAAACAATGATTAAGCAATTTTACACGTTTGTGTTCGTGTCATCATATGGACAAAACACAATTTATAATAAATAAACGCAGTTTAAAGAGGAATGTCTAATCTCATTGTGAATGTTTCACATTTTGGTTGGTTGGTTTGGCATGCGCTAAAGCAGTTTTCTAAAAGCTGATTATTGTTGAGAGAGATCTGTCCATTGTACGTGTAAGTGCTAATATCATCACTCAAAAATGTGTATTACATGGAAACAAGGCTATCTGCATGAATTCAAATTTAATTGTGAAATACACTTTGTAATCTGTATAAATCGGAAGTTTCGTTGCAATCGTGATCCCTCAATGGTGTAATCAGAATCCTTAATTTTAATATTTCTGTTTATGTATATATTCTAGAATGTTAATGTTTGTAATTATATAGGTAATTATTTATTAGGATGATAAAAGCATTATATTTTCTCATAGTGAGATAGCTTGTTCTTTTCTTTGAAAGATATTTAGTTAGGAACGAATATCGAGGATTTCAGTGAGAATAGATCGATTCTCTACAGTGATGGTGAAGTGCCTGTTTTGGCTAGTTGTTAGTGAATTTTATGATTCTGTATCTTTGAATAACCTTCTGTTGAGTTTTAGGTTTTTAAAGTTTTTTTATAGTAACGTTTTGTTGTGTGGTATTTTTCCCTGCTACAATAAAATGTTTTCGTGATAAAATTAGAGATATCCGAAAGTGTGATGATACTCATGTCCAGATAAGAAATGTTGCAACAGTTGGTTATTCATCCTTTGAAGTGCTTTCCAAAAAGGTCCTCCTCCCACTTATTTTTTAAACGGGTCACATATTTTAGCGTAAACGCGGCAGTTGAAAATTTCGAGATGACGATTGGGCGCTATCTTGAAATATATTTTTTTCTGGAGTGGAGGGTCAATTAATACCTCATTTTGAGTACTTTATATTATAACTCGACCAGTCATCAACATATTATATACATACATCCATCCTCTTCTCTTGGAAAGAGCTGTCTTCGTATGGAATAAAATGTGGCACGCCACTGACATTTCTTAAGATAAAAAATGGAAATGTTTTCATATCTACTTTATTATGATGCAAAGAAACGGTTTTTATCTTTTAAGTTCGAACCGTGCATCGGATTGAACAAATCAAGCATTCCTATTTGCTTAGAAATGAATAATGTTTATTTCAAGAGAAATCAGTGGCGTACTATCTGTCAAAATAGGTAGGTGAAATTCCATACGACTACCACAGGTGGAAATTATGAAAAATGTAGTACATTAAAAAATGCCTCTTGATACAAAGTGCATGTATGCCAAATTTCACCAAAATATATAAAATTGAATTTAGAGATGATAATAATAATAATTTATTCTTAAATCTTAATCACCTTGTATGTCAAAAGTTAAGAGGTTTAGGACAAACGATGATATGAAGTTTCTTTTTTAAAATGGACCCAAAATCGCACTCCTAAATATTGACATTCATTTCGTAAACGCGCTGTTAAGTATTCATGGAACTTGAGCAGTTCAAAAAATTATTGGTGGGAGGACCTTTTTGAAAAGTCATGCACAACAGATTGATTAGTTTTGTCTGTTCCATAGCACTCAAGGAAAGCTCAAGTATGTAAAATAATAGAAAGAAGACGGTCGGGCAGCTTTTATTTTTATTACTGTTTGAAAACATTCCATATGCACGAAGTAGAAATGGAATGATTAAAAATATTTGGCCTAAATTGTTTGGTGGGTAAAACAGTTTTAATTTTGTCTGATTATTTAACTGTTGATGTTTCGAGATTTTTAATTGTTAATATAGCACATAACAAATTATAGTTAATAGTTACACTGAAGTATTCTGTATTGTACAATAAATACGTCATATTTTAATGTGTTAATAAAATTCGTTTTGAAATACGTTTTTCTGTTTTCTTTCTCATAATCAGATAAATACTTGTAATAAGAGTAAGTTAGTTTGACCAGGATATATATTTTAATGACGTTTAGCGTGGGAGGGTTAATTTTTATTAAACATGCTAAAAAATGCCGTTTTTATATTTTCATTTGATGTATCGTATTAATTAAAAATTAATGAAGGTTTACTTTCATCCATATATCTTCTTTCTTACCCAAGTAGTTTTTAAAAAATATACTTTTTTGAATTGAAGTTCACAAAAATATAATGTAAATGGTACATATAGCTTTACAAAATGAATGAAAACTATATAACTACAGTTGTTAACAAGTAAAACATCATTTGTATCAGCATACAAAAAAAAAATACAAACTGCAAATAAGAAATATACCTTATCGCCGCCGCCCCCTTCATCAAACGCGTCTGTGCACTATCAACTAGGATTCGTGCATGCAAGCTTGCATCTCTGTAGATCTGCACCAATCGTTTTAGAACAGCACCGAATTGGCGGACATTTTAACGTCGCCTCTTCTTTCACACCCGCGTTTATTGTCGCACGCGGATCGCAACTCGAGACGCCTATACCCTATTCGTAATCCATTTACGCCCGGCACAACCAAGACGCAAAGCGGCAGCATTTACGATCAGTGATTTATGCAACAGAATTTACAAATATTCAAAATACAGTTTGGTGATTCGCAAAAATATTTGAGTATTTGTATGTATGTATTTTATTTGTTTATTATAAGGTTTGTATCAAAATATCGGCCACACCCGAGCAGTATTGCATAGAGGGTAGATGGAATAATTCGGAAAAAAGTATTTTTCATCATTGTCGTATAAGTAATTTACCGAAGTTTCATCCAAATCAGACCGGTACTTTCAGAAATATAACAGTTTTTTGTAATGCACATGTCTTGAAACCTATCGACATGAACATCCATATAGCAAAATTTAGGTTAGTACATTGATGGTCCCACATCGAGATATAAATCAAATTCAAGCGGATATCCAAATGAAAATAGTATTTACCATTTTGGGTTGGTATTTACATATCCGTTTAAGCGAGTGTGGTTATCAGTTTTGTTATAAGATCCGTGACGTCATGAATCAGCAGTTATATGTCACAGTTATCAGCGCAAAATTGTGGTATTTACCCAACTCATGAGTAGTTTTATATTTCTGGTTATTATTTGAAATTTGACAAGTTAGAATTTTGCCGGGTATTGGATATTAATCCAATCCAAGCCAATAACCAAAATTTCTGTGTTATGTGCCGCGGTTATAATATGGTTCAAGATGACACACGGGTTGAGACGTCAGTTATACGAATCGCTTGTTGCAAGTTAGAAAAGTGCGTATATAATCTCTGATTATTTGTATACTAAGTGAACATATAAATCCGAACACCCAGTTTAAATGGTTTTATTTTAATAAAATTTTGTATAAGTACTTAATGAAGCATAATAAGTAAATGATAAAAATTTCAAAATGATTGCACTGCTTTAAAGCCCTTTTACCTTTAATAATGTGTGGATGCATCCTGATGTGCTACGCATTCTCCAACGAGCCTAGGCATGCTTCTGATCAGGTGGTCAATGTCCTCCTGTGGTATCTCATTCCAGGCAACCACCAACTCCTCTCGAAGTGCTTCTAGAGTCTGAGGAGAACGTTGCAAATTGAGCAATCTCCTACCCATCATATCCCACACGTGCTCAATTGGGGATAAGTCGGGAGATCTTGGTGGCCATGGTAACAATGTGACATCATTATGTTGAAAGAAGTCTATTGTGACTCTTGCAACATGTGGTCGGGCATTATCTTGTTGGAAAGTTGGATCTGCCAGAGTGTCAAGATAAGGTAATTGATGGGGTTCTAGAACTTCGTGGATATAACGCTGCGCGTTCATGTTACCTCTGATGAAGATTAAAGGTGACCTGGAACCATAAGCTATAGCACCCCAAACCATAACTCCAACAGTGTGATGAACATGTCTTTTAACAAAAAACTGTGGATTCCTCCTTTCACCACGTCGCCTTCTAACTCTGGCACGACCATCGGGCATGCCTAAACAAAATCGAGACTCGTCACTAAAGACAATACTGTTCCATTCCTGATCCCAGAGTAACCGTTGTCTGCACCACTCAAGGCGATTACGTCGGTGTTCTCGAGTGTGGCCGGTATGAAAACAAGCCAAAACTTCTCATTTGTCGGTAAACACTTCGCATGCCAATAGGTCTTCCGTGTTCTGCAAACCATTCATTTGCAATGGACCTGGTAGTGGAGAAACGGTCCCTTAAGGCCAATAATCTTAGGCGGCGATCTTCACGGTCTGTTGTTCTACGGCGGCGTCCAGTGCCCCTTGCTCTTTGCGTACGGCATTCTCGAAGCCATGCCTGACAACACCTAACCACAGTGTCTACACTTCTTTGCACTCTAACTGCAATTGCCCGAAAAGAAAGTCCAGCTTCCCGAAGTCCCACTATACGGCCCCTATCAAACTCACTAAGTTGACGAAATCGTACAGGTCTCCGTACTCTAGGCATCGTAACCGATCGTAAAGGATGTCAAGAACCAAAATCCGCCAACGTTGATTCTTTACTGCGGCTGAAATATTCATTTTTAGAGTGTTAGTGAATTAAAAAAAGCAGTATAAAAACCGGAATGTCCAACTGATAAGGCTGAAAATTTTTCCACTTGTTATTTACAGTAAGATAAATACATTCACCAACTTTTATTAAAATAAAACCATTTAAACTGGGTGTTCGGATTTATATGTCACTTAGTATATATCACTTAATAATCGGTGCTTTTTTGTCTACAACGGTTTATGGAAAATTTAAATAAGAAACCTTTCATAATATTCATGGGAGAAATGTTTTTTTTCTCAGAAAAAAAATTTTAATGATGGAACCATGGTTTTGTAGCTATGATAACTTTCAATTCTCTAAAGTTTTCCGCATGTCAAAGAAAACATTTATTGATTTAGCGGAAATGATGAAAAAAGATATTAGCAAAACCGTATACAGGTGGACATCATCCAGTGAGTTAAGTGGCCATATTTTATTATTCTTGTGGTATATGGCTAGACAGGGTACTTTGTTAAACATGGGAACTAGATTGAAAGTGTTCTGAACAACAGTGATGAATATAACTAATAAGGTTTAAAAAAACTCGTATTTAATCGGGAAATCTATTGCACCTCTAAGAATTCGACTCCAACTAACAGTATACTATCACAACCAAATTTGGTGAACATATGTTTTAGGTGATCCTGAGTAATAAGCAGGTGTAACTTTTTTCAAATATCGCTTATAGTAATTCTCGATTCTTCGCTCTTAAAACTTGAATACAGTATTGGGTCGTGTCTTACATTTTCTGAATATCCGCAAACTGAGATTTTTGACCATTCAACAAAAATAAGTTTATGAAAATCGGTCAAACAACACAAATGTTGAAGTAAGTGGGACACACTATATATTATAGATAGATTTTTTCTAAATACATAAGTGTAGCAAATGATATAATTTACATATAGCATAAATTCAATCAAATCAAATAAATACATTAAAAACAGATACGATCCTGGCAAATCCGCCATATTGTTAAGCGACTAAGTTCCACCCACGGGTCCCTTTATCAATAGCATGATTTATATGACAGTAGCGTCTCCTTTTGTATTATATCTCAATGATGGTCCCAGAACTCATGTTTTTCAAGATTTCCGAGTCCGAGCGGGAGGGGGTGGTTGCCGGCGATTGAAAATTGAGTGCTCTTCAATATAATAAAAAGAGAATCAACCTTGAATTCCTATTTCACGAGTTACTGCTTACATAGCTTGATGGATTATGACATATGAGGTGTCTCTAGATTTGTCTTGACAGTGTGAGTGACACTATACCCTATTCGTAGTCCATTTACGCCCCGGCACAACAAAGATGCAGCACGGCAAAGCGGCAGCCGCCTAAGCGTTGCAATAGCTAAGGGTCATTTGGCCACAAAAAAAGGAACAAATGCAAGATTTGACAGGATAGAACTCAGGCTCGGGGTATCGCTGACGCCAGCAGTTGCTGTTCATAATAATAAATGGCCTTTATTTTACCTGGCGGGTTACATCAGCTGTTTTTCAGAACCAACCGCTATGTATGTACCATATTCAATATATATATATTATACGTTGGCATGTGGTGTGAATGAAACAATATTTCTCCCAATGATTCCTTCAGCCATGCTTCCTCTTCAGTGATAACTCCTTCCCAAAAATGTGACAAGAAGGAACATTTGAATATTCTGGCAAAAGAAATTGCCCTTAACGTTTATAAGAGCGAAATTTTAGGGCATCCTGGAATGAAAATTCATTATATTGAAAAACGTGGACGAACAAAACAGGCTTATATTCCAAGACAATTCTCAACACTGTTAAAGAATATAAAAAAAACAAAAAATTGTCTCCACCACACAAGAGACTGCATTACATGAAGCTGTTGGATACAGTTGATAACTTTGGTCGGAATGTCATCAGACACTTAGTCCATCAATTTTTTTAAAAGCAGGAACTTCACCCCATAAACAAAGTATTACAGGAGGTTAATAGTGATGAAGACTTACCTACCTTCAAAAGAACCACATTCTATAGTTCACTCAAAGAACTTCATTTTGAGTATAGAAAACGGGGCAGAAATAGTATTTTCAAATACAGCCAAGAGATTATTTTATGGAGAAGAAATTTAAAATCAATAAAGAAGTACCGCGACCAGGGCAGGAAGATTTATTACTTGGATGAAACCTGGATAAATGCAAGACAAAAGTATGGGCTTACTCTACAATAAAATCAGCAAGATAAGCCTTGTTAGATGGACTAACCACTGGCCTAAAAAATCCGTCAGGTACGTGTATCTAACCAATTCGTCATTTGTGTTGTAAAAATGGTGTTTAGTAGACTGAATCTCTGGGCCCAAGCTGAAAACTTAGCTATATTTGGTACATTTGGAACCAACACCTGTTACATACTCTGCTTGTATTATTAGTAGTTTTCTTGAATACTATACCAGGAAAAGGAATCTGTCACATTGGCAGTGAAGATGGCTTTGTGCCCACTGCCCTATGGGCATTTGAGTCAAAGAAAACGACCGACTACCATGAAGAAATTGACGGGAGTTCATTTGAACGATGGTTTGAATAAATGCTCCCAAAGCTTGACGACAATGCACACCACAGTAGAAAACAAGAAAAATTTCCCACAATGTCCACAAGAAAGTCAGAAATTAAAAAAATGGCTCATATCAAAAGACATTAGTCCAAATGAAAATATGGTCAAAGCAAAACTTATCCATCTAGTCAGGCAGCACAAATATAAATATAATCTTCATGTTATTGACGAAATGGCTGCAAATTAAATCTCAATGAAATGATTTGGGCAAATATAAAAAACTATGTGGCTTCAAACAATAGAACATTCAAATTTTCTGACGTGAAAAATTTATTTTATGAAGCTGTCAACAGAGCGACAACAAACCACTAGAAAGATTACATCCGTCACCTTCAAGAGACAATTGAAACAAAGATGTGGGATCTGGACAATATGATCGATATTCAAATTGAACCTGTAATAATTAATATTAACCACTCGGACGATTATTCAAGTCTTCCAGCGAATAAAGAATTGTGAAAAGTATGTGCACTTCTTTCTATAAAAATAATCATTTATTTTGTTAGACTATTCCAAGATCATTGAGAAAAATACGGACATACACAATCTCGCTTTTGAGCATGTAGTTTTGTCTGGGAGTAAATGGACTATGAATGAGGTATAGTGTAGCGTCTAACGTAAAAGATGTTCTAGATCCCAGTAATAGTACACATCTGACAGATGCTTTTTAAAGTAGGACGTATTTCACTGATACCATAAATGAAACTTCAACAACCCCTGATTTTAACCACTACTGGATTTTTTCAAAAAATGAGGAGCCTCTGAAAGTTAAAAAAACGAAAATTGAGTTTTTTGCCCCCAGCTCCGCCGCTACAGAAGCCATTTTCAAAAACTGTAAAGCTTATTCGTCCTTGGCACAGTAGTACCCTTCAGTTTTATCAAAATCCGAGCGGGCGGAGGATTAACGAACAGCCAGACAGACGGAAATGAGTCATTAGTTTTTCGTGGTGTACGTGCTAGAAAATATATCTCATTGTTTTTATGTTTTGAGATTACAATACTTGTTCACCAGTGGCTTGGAAAATAAAATATAAAAATGTATAATAATATTATTCCTAATACTCTACTAAAAATGGTGAAGATTTTATTCAAACATAAGATATACAACTAATACGTGAGCCTATAATAATAAATAACTTAAAACTTATCGACCAAATTGAGAATATGCTGTTGCTCCTCGTCCCGCCATTCCTGATCGCCCTCATCACCTAGATTTCCCGCGTATTCGCGCATCACATGCTTGATTGTCTTCAGAGATGCGCCTCTCAGGTTCAAGATCTGCACCGCACGCTGCTTGATGCTTGGCGAACCGCAGTTGCAAACTTCTAGGATGATGTAGTCGACCAGCTGTAAAGTGAACAGGCCACCTTCCAAGCGCTTCAGGTAGATGGAGTCGTCGTCGTCTTCGGTTTCTTCTTCGTTTAGGGCGCTGTCGATGGCATCTACCTAAATAGATAGTTTTTATCATTATTATTACTAAAATGGTAAATCCCAAGAATTTCATGCTGGAAACAGTCAAAAAAATTGTCGATGACAAACGCTGTCCATACACCAGCGTTCTTTGCTGCCACTCAATCATGTGTTTGGATATCCCAAAGAAATTTTGTTAATCCGATTTTTGAGCTGCCCAAGGTTAGTAGAACTGGAAAAAGCCTCCTCTTGTAGATTGGCGCACAATCTCGACACCCTCGGGACAAAGTAGTGGTCGTATCGGCCAGTTCTGGATGTACGAAGTTCGACACGGTTAGGATGGGAGGCCGAAGACAGGCGGGTCTGTCTGGCAGGCACATTGTGCGGCAGCATAATGGAGGAGAACTTTAAGGAGCAAAGCCCGTTGTTGTAGCGGTAGAAGAGAGATAGATCGCCAAATGCCCGCCGGTGCGAAAGGGTCCCGTAGACTGTTAGAGAAGAGTCATCGATCAGTCGGGCAGCCCTCCTCTGGACAGCATCGAGCATAAATAATGTAGTCGGGGCGGCACCACCTTAAACATATTAGCAATACTCGACTCTAGGTCTTATATAGAACTTGTATAGAGTGAGGATTCTTTAAACAGAACTCTGCCATCCATCGAAATCGGATGGGTGCTCGGACGATTTTTGTTCGTCAAGGTACAGTACTGTGTTTTGGAAGCATTAAATTGTACAAGATTGTTGCGTCCCCAAGCACCTTTAACTTCCAGGTCTCTCCTCAGAAAGGAAGACGCTGCTAGTCTTCTTTTTTTCCAGCGCACCAGCAGAGATAGGCACGTCTCTCTGAAATCCTGCATGTAGAGTGCTGTCATCAACAAAGCTAGGAACTGGATTGACCGTACAGGAAAGGAGGTCGTTGATATGTAAGAGGAAATGTGTAGGAGCCAAGACCAAACCCTGGGGAACACCCGCGTCGACGTTGTGGGATGAAGAGCAGAACCTGTAAATTACGACCGATATTTTGCAGCCAGAGATAAAGTCAGCGCGACACATCTGCAAAGCTTCTCTGGAAGGCCATAGGATCGAAACTTGCATAAGAGAGAAGCGTGCCACGGCTGATCGAACGCTTTCGTGAGATCGAGAGAAACGATATGAGCGTCACCATAAGACTGGAGTTTACTCCACAATTGCGTGACGTAAGCTAAGAAGTCCCCCCTGCGGATCGCTGGTGTTTAAACGTTTAAATATTTCCTTCCGGAATATATGACACCTAGTGAGAAAATTTGTCACTTCAGTACGAATCTGTGCATGCCATCAGTCTCTTTCAGCTAATTTTCCGATAATTATCGTCGAAAGGTCTGCATTTCAATATCTTGATATGTAGATTCATCCAACATTTATTTATGTGAATCAAAACTAAAATTCCCCTTTTTTTCTGGAGAGTACCTTTGGAGGCAGTAGGCTTTTTTTTCAGGATCCAAGATTGAAAGGTTCGGTCTGAAGACGCGCCCAAAGGCTTTGTATTTTTTCTCGAAACTCTGGCTATGTTCAATTGCACATACCTGCTACGAACTAGCACTACATAAAGTGTATTTTAGGTCAGTTGCAAAATATTGCTCGATATTAACTGAATCTACTGACAACTAGCAAAGCTCAGAATAACTTGTTTCACATACGTGACTTCTGTCAATCAATCTCAGTTTTTAGAAATTTTCAAAGGCATCTAGACTGCTATATTTGTGTGTGTCTGGCATTATTCATGCACAGCTAGCTTGTAACTGCTAGGTGCAACTGAATGTAATCATTACCTGCATTAACTAGCATTCAGCAGCTGTATTTCCGTGTTGTTTAGAATATGCTTTAGCTCAGTTACTGAAAGGTACCTAAATGAACTGTCAATCACTAACAATGGACATAACCTGCTAAACCATACTCGAGACAGCGTTATGATTGATAAGCCAATGATAACTATACCAATTTTTCTCTCTCGAAAAATGTTAGAGACGATTCTTCAGGATGCCATCAAATACAATGCATGTTGGCATGTCTGAGCATTATGTCACGTACCAGGGAGGGGGGTCGAATCTCGCATGCGACATATCCTTACATCCATTACTGAAATTTTATTTTGTTGTCATCCTTTCATTATGCTGTCATTTTTGTAAAGACAGGTGTTGGGAAAACGTGGTCAATAACAAAGAAAAAAGTAAGTATTTTCAAGCAATTAATCCTCCTACATTGTCATCTACCGTTCTGTTCGAACAGTGAAAAATCTCGAATGCGTCATTCATAGTCGCATGGTCTTAGCTTCGCGGCAGCTCTTTGCTAAGGGTAATATAAAAGTTATGCAATGCAGTTTTATTTATTGACTTTGTTCAAAGTAATTTCCACCACATTCAATACTCTTCTCCATCCGACAAAAAAAGCTCTACCAAGTTTCGCCCGGGAGTGCGGCACACTCGTTGTACCAAGCCCACAGAAGGTCCTCATTGCTAGAAAACCGTTTTCCTGTTAGCTTCATTTTAACATACGACAACAGTGCAAATTTGCAGTGAGCAAGGTCTGAACTGTAAGGAGGGTCCTCAATAAGTTTCATTATAGTGGTGGTCAAATACTCGGTGCAGGCTTTGGCGCGTTGAGCTGGAGCGTTATCATGGTGGAGGTACCAAGTGTCAATTCTGGACTTTGGCCGCAGGTGTCATAGAGTCTATGACTTTACGCAGTCACTGTTCCGTGTACCACTTAGCTGTGACTGTCTTCTGTGAGTAATAAAAGACACGTTCCACAACCCGGCTCGATTTGAAAATACAGCTAACATTTTTTTTTCAACAGATCGGGATTTTCTGACAGCTACGGGTGTGTCCTCTACATCAAAGACCCAAACTTTGTTTTGAGCCTTGGTCTGTACATCGTAATAATAGAGCCAAGTCTCGTCACCTTTCACGATGCTGGTCACATACCGAGATTGCCCCTTATCAAACATTTTCAGCATCTTTCGGCACCAAGTCGTACGACGAGTCTTCAGCTCTTCCGTCAGACTATGCGGTCCCCAGAGAGAACAAAGTTTCCTTACGTGTAAATGGTCATGCAGAATGGAATGAATTGCTGGTGCATGAAGGTGTAAGGTCTCCTCTATCTGTTGGTATGTCACTCTCTAGTTCGTCAAGCATGTTCCTCACAGCAGTAAAGTTTTCCTCTGTTACTGACGTTCGCGGCCTTCCTTCCTTCTCTGCGTCCTAAAGAGTGAAATTGCCCATTTGGAATTCTCTGTACCACCTGAATATAGTCATACGATGAGGACTGATCTATGCTTAAACTACGCGTAAAGTTATACCGTTAAAGTGCTCTTATCTCACTACGTGACCATGATGCCACTTTACACTGTGAATGCGATTGAACAACTAAATCAACAGACGGGCTGCTTGCGAGTACTATGCACTCATGGACATGTCTCAACATGCAGTAACATTCAGCCTCCTGCGTCCGTTTGTTAAGTCATATTCAAAAACTTTTATAGTACCCTTTATATTTAGGATAAAGCAACATAATTTCAAAGTATTATTTTATCTTTCAATTTTGCTTACTTTTTCCAGATATTTGAAATGCAATTCCAACAATCTATCGACTTTCTCATGATCATTTTCTGTAAATTTACTTATTAGCCTCTGCCTTTGAGAGCCTTTGCAATTCCTTAACATTGAGGCTATAATTGAACAGACATGCTCTTCATGTTCCTCAGTGGATAAGACCTTCCTCCTGTTCTTTTTTGGTGTTTTCATAAACAATGGAAATATTGTTCTTAAACCTGGAACAGAAACAGGAAATAAAATATGAAATATGAAAACCAGTATGTTGATTTTATTTTTACGTTAATCACAGTTAAAGTCAAGTGAAAACATTCAGGGTATACTTTTTGTAAAGTGAAAATTATTATTGAATATTTACTACCTTTCATCACAAAATACATAGTACAAAAGATAATGATAAGAAGTAACATTTATTATATGCATTCCAGGGTTCAAAGGGCATTCGCAATTTCATTCGAATATATAAAAAACTAATTTGTAATGTTTATTTTACTTTCTTTAATGATATGATACATGCCACTAGCATTAACAGGTGACTAGTATCAACAAAAATTGCTAATAGACATGCAAATCTGATGTTTAGTCATTTTGGTACAGCTAAAAAAACTTGGGTCCCAGTTTATTGGTTTAGCACATTCAACACCTGTCGTGTATATGACAGCTGGAAGTTCTTCCAACAACAAAATAATGAAAAAACTTCACTATCACTCACAAGGGAAAATTATGCCCCCCTCCCCCATCTTTTAAATATGAATACTGTGCCACTCCCCCTAGACAGATAGCTAAATTCGTCCTTCATCTTACCTAAAATATCTACAAACTTATTGCAGTTATCTTTCCCATAAGGTCCAGACATGGCATAATCCAAAACCTTCAGAGACCCATTCCTAGATGTCTTCTTTTCTCGCAACATAAGATTCATCAGTTGCAAACCTTCACCTTTAAGGAACTTGTCACGATTGGGGACAACCATTAGAGCACTACACAAGCAATTGAACAAATTCTCCATATATTCATGTTCTTCTGCTGATGCTGGGTCATGACGTTTGTAGAAAGCCAATTGTTGGAGAAGTGTATCTATTCCATCCATTTCACCTAGAGTATAAGGTCAAAAATTATGATACATCCCAACATACACTTTAGAATGACATTCTACCCAGTCAAAAGTTTTATAAGCTGATAGTATAATGGAATAAAATAAGTGAACTCTTAGCATCTAATGATAACCATTTTTCAAACAAATTAGAAAATGTGGATCAAGCAAGATTCTATTCCATCAATCCATGCTAAAAACACACTTGGATGCGATTTATAAGAAATGTTTACAGATTATACTCCAACCTAACATTGTTCGGTTCTTCTCATTATCTTGTAATAAAATTGACATCATTTCACTTGCATACAGCTTGTTTCCATCAAATGGCCCTTTGACTTTTAATCGTCTCAATAACCATCCAAGTAATCCTTGCTTTCCAGCTTCGGTAGTAATTTCTGATCTTAATTCTGTCAAGTTTTCCACAATTGAGAGAGTATTGTGTACCCCATCTGCTTCTTCTTTAACAGTTTCATCAAGTCTCTCTAAGTTTTGCACTAATAGGGCTAGAATCTGGTGTTCTAGTAGTGCTTCCAAAAGAGCTTCAGCACCTTCTTCAGACTCATTCAATATGTCAACATCTGTCAACTCTTGTAACAGTTCTACTGTGCCTACCTAAATAAAACAGAACTTCGTGAATAATCAGCAGGCAGGATATGGTGCGACAGCCATGTGGTTTGCTTCAATTACTAAATCTTGGATAGATAGATGTCACATTTCAAGCTGGGATCCAGCTCATCATTAGATAGAGTTTTTCTTCTCCAGAAATACGTTATAAGAATTATTAAAAATCTTAATTGGCGTGAATCTTGTACGGATTATTTTCGATCCTTGATAATTTTAACAGTAGCTTATATTTACATTTATGAATTATCAATGTTTGTGCCTAAAAATCAATTGAACCTCTTCAACAACAAAGAAGAACACATTTATCAAACTCGATCTAAAGATTTGCTGATACCCCCTCAGCATCATGCTGCAGCATATAAGAAATATTTGAGTAACTTGGGTTGTAAAATGTTCAATAATTTAAAAGATTGTATTCAAAAAGGACCGACATTAATCAATTTCAAAAATCAGATGAAATCATTTCTAACAAATAAGTGTTTTTATAGTGACTTGCTAAATTATAGATCAATAACTTTACTTTCTTGTTTCGCGAAGCTTTTTGAGTTCGTGATGTATTCAAGAATTATGCACCATATGATTTGTAATAACTTAATTGCAGAGTCACAACATGGGTTTGTAAAAAGGAAATCCATCAACACGGCGATCTATTCTTTCAGCCACAAACATCATAGAATGCCTTGAAAATAATATGATATCACTGGGTCTATTTTTTGCTCTCTCCAAAGCTTATGATTGTGTAGATCATTCTTTTCTATTGAATAAACTCGAGGTATACGAGATAAGGGGAAGTGCTTGCAACTGGATTAAGTCTTATCTGACAGATCGTAAGCAAAGTGTTTCCATTACAAAAGATGAAATATCAGCCGTTTCATCACAGTTAACGGTAGAAAGAGGTATTCCACAAGGTAGCGTCTTACGACCTCTTCTCTTTTTGATTTTTGTGAACGATCTGTGTGCTAGTATTACAAGCCCAAATACTGTAATCACGATCCAATACGCTGATGACACCAGTGTACTGGTCTCTGGCCAAGATTTCAACCATTTAGCTGAAAGTACTTTGAGCCTCTGCGACAAAGCGTTTTTGTGGTTTGCCCGTAATGGATTATCCCTGAATACCTCAAAAACAAATGCGATTGTTTTTAAGCTAAGAAAAGAAATCGAAGCTACAAACATCACTTTAGTAGAAAGAATAGAAGTCCAGCTAACAGACTGTGGGAAATTCTTGGAAGTTCATATTGACCAAGCACGTTCCTGGGCTAAACATAGAGGACATCTAGAACAAAGGTTAAATAACGCATGTTATAGCATTAGATTACACTAAAAATGGTATATTACGCGAATTTAGAGTCAATTGCACGTTTTGGAATAATTGTTTTCAGATATAGTGTCCATACCAATAGGATCTTTCTAGTGCAGAAGCGAGTGCTGAGGTCCATCCTAAAAATTTCCTCTAGAGAGTCTAGCAGAGGAAAATTTAAGAGTTATAAAATTTTAACAGTAGCTGCAATATACATACATTCAAAAGATACTAATTTTTTTCATTTAAAAACATTGACAATTTTATTCGTAATCCACAAAGTGATTATAACACAAGAAATAGAAATATAAATCTTCTGTATCCAGTCATCATCTCACGATTACCGAAAAAAATGTCCGTTACAGCTGCACCAAAATATATAATAAGTTACAACAAGAAATTAACGGTTGTCCGATATAAAAGAATATAAAGAGAGTATTCATCACTTGTTAAAGGACTTAGAACCATATGACCTTAAGAATATTTTTAAATGTAAAATCTCTATTATGTTACATAGTCATGCCATAAGTTCTGTCCCTCGTTTTCAAACAAGTGTAGACCTGTTAATACTTGTCCGATTGTTTACATTGTGGTGTCAGTTGATTAAGCGCTTTTCGGGTAATTACATATACCTCAGTTTGTATTGATCTCTCGAAGCATAACGATGGAGTGGGGCAAGGCAGAGAACCGTATTGCAGTGATAGCTTTACATAAGTGTAATCACAGTGCTAGTCAGATTTTTGAACTCTTACGCGGCCTTCAAATATCGCGTAAATTTGTGTCTAGGACCATTCAGCGGTACAATGAGACGTCCTCTGTTGATGACAGGCCAAGAAGCGGAAGACCTCGTCAAGTAAGGACTCCAGCAGCCATCAAAGCCGTAAAAGCCAGGATTCAAAGGAATCCACTCCGGAAGCAGAAGATCCTATCCAGGGAAATGAAGATTCCTGTCCGGACGATGTCGCGCATCATTAAACAAGACCTAGGGCTAGGGGCTTACCGGAGACGTACGGGCCAGCGACTTACGGCCACCTTGCGACACATCAGGGCGACAAGATCCAAGAAGCTCTTGGAGAGGTACGCAGCTGGGGGATTCCGAAAGATTTTGTTCACGGATGAGAAAATCTTCACCATAGAAGAAAAATTCAACCGACAAAATGACAAAGTGTATGCAAGGAGTTCACAGGAAGCTTCGGAGATCATTCCGAGAGTTGAGAGAGGCCACCACCCTGCGTCAGTCATGGTTTGGTTGGGGGTGTCCTACGAAGGGGTCACTCAGCTCCATTTCTGTAAACAGGGCGTGAAAACAAAAGCGGCAAACTATCAGAGCGACATACTGGATCCTATCGTCAAGCCTTTAAGTGGTACATTGTTTGCCAACCAACACTGGGTCTACCAGCAGGATTCCGCCCCCGCTCACAAGGCTAAGAGTACGCAGCGCTGGCTGGAAAGCAATGTGCCAGAGTTCATTGCTGCGGAAGATTGGCCCTCAGGGAGTCCGGACCTCAATCCTTTAGACTACAAGTTGTGGGACCTGCTAGAGCAGTTGGCCTGCTCCAAAGCCCACCGTAATATCGAGTCCCTGAAAGCGGATTTGATCCGATCAGCGGCAGCTATTCCTTTGGAAGCTGTGCGTGCAGTGATAGATGAGTGGCCCGCGAGATTGAAGCAGTGTGTGAAGGCCAAGGGGGGACATTTTGAATAAAACTGTTTGATTATGAATTCTAAAAATGTTGTCGAATAAATAATATCTTTCATATAAATATATCTTATCTTGTTTCATTTTTATCATGAGATTATCATGGGACAGAACTTATGGCACGACTATGTATATGTTTGCCTCTTTGTTTTTTTTTTTGTCTTGATGATGCTGTTACGTATATTTCACCTAACAGTGTGTAATACACAGTATTCATGCACTGTTATTTTGAAATAAAGATTTATCATTATTATTATTATTACTTGGAAGAGTTTATTGCTCTGTATTGTATTGTTCTTTAAGGATATGTGTTTTTGTGCTACCATTTCCTGTTGACGTTTGATTTGATATAGTCTGTGGCTATTTAACAATGAAATAAACGTATTATTATTATAAGTATTAGTAGGTTCTGATGGGTCTTGAAGCTGTTCAGATAAAGGCCTCATTCGCCTTAATAAGTATTATAAATTCCAGGGTATTAATACCATTTACAATTGTTATTACCTTGTTCATGAATACAAATTGGGAGCCAAATCACAGATGCAGAATTGGGAGGTTTGACTACATTTGAGCCACAATATATATTGTCACTGTCACTTATACTTTGAAAAAGGTGCCCAAAACATTAGTAAACCTTTCAATTCCCCATCTGTGCTTTTATTTGGTTGCAAATGACAGATGGAATTTCATCAGCAAGACGACCCACAAGATAAATTTCAGGTGTTACATTTACAGTAAAACTCTTTTTTTTTTATTTTGTTATGTTTAATATTTTTGATATACTTACAGAAATATCAGTATTGTCATGTGCCAAGAGTTCCAGTAGACTTGGTATTACCTGTAGTTTAACTAGTAAGGTGTAATAATCTGGTGCCGTAGCTAAAACTCTCATTTCCTGTAATATCTCGTGAAGCTCTACCTCACTATCCATAAATCTTTCTGGTGAATCCGGAAACTTAATCCTCATTTCTCTATTCTTCAAACTCCTCTTTTCAAAGTTCAACACAATTCTCTTAATAGTTGCTTCATCTACAACCTCACCCTATTGAAGAAAATAAATATAAATAAGAATAAAAATACACTGATCCAATACAAGAGTAGTTAACAAGTGAAGGCTCCAATCAAAGAAGCAACTAATAGACCGATTTTTTTATGATGAGTGAAAAAGATCCACCTTGCCTATTTTTTAAATTGCAGCTTTTTTCTTCCATGAATAAAAATGTGTAGAATCCAATTTATATCAAAATGGAATAAAATAGTTCTTAGAACGGAGTCCCCAATTAGCCTTTGTTCCACACATTTTGAAGAGCGAATAAGAAACAACCAAGTGGCTGTACAACAGAAATACTTATGTTTTCGTATATCTGGATGTAGATTAGATAGTAGTACTAGTAGAGGTAGGGAGGCGAAGCCTGGCAACTAGGTGACCTATGACCCTTTTTTGCCAACCCCACAGTACCAAGACTGTACGTACCATGAGCCATCTACAGGTAATTCATATAATAAACCAGTTCCAGCAATGATATGTACCTGTTAATATTGCACCCTGGTGCGTGACAGACAACACAACTGCATGGCAAGGACTTAATTTCCAAGACAGAGATTCGAACCCACGAGCCCCGAGTTGCTAGCTCGACGCGCTAGTCATCAAGCTGCTGAGGCTCCCATGTAGATTAGGTACTTTCCATTTTAAGTCACAGTGGCAGACATTAAGGCAGTCGCCGGCCGTGCAGGATGTCTTCAACATCATTCAAGATTTTTTAATGGACACAATTTAAAAACTATTTGATTGAAATGATGAAGAAAAAGCATTAGATGACTACTAAGCCTGTTGATTACCCTTTCATCTTTTGAGCTCAAGACATTGGAAAGGATAGTTCACAGATTTTTGAAGGATGACCTGCTGGAGAGTGTTGTGCCATTCATTCCAATCAGTTCTCATACCAGGCTAGGAAATCACCCAATCTGCCCTTAAATAATTTGGTCAGTATGATGGAGAAGACTAGATCAGCGAGAAGTGGCACTCATGGCCTTTTTGGACATTGAAGGTGCATTTAACTGCACTACAACCGACTCTGTCAGACATGTCTTGGTTAGGCACGTGGTTGGATCAATCCTAGTTGATTGGGTCCTATCCACTCTGGAGAGTTGGGTAGCAACAGCACTGCTCAACCATCTCCTCGATAGTCTCTGAGATTATGCAGGGCACTCTGCGCATTGTGGAATTGTGGTAGTAGGGAGGTCGATCTTTCTGACAACACTGGAAAGACAGAGCTGATTCTATTCACTAGAAAAAGGAAACTTGAGGGGTGTGTCTTGCCGACCTTCTTCGGGACTAGACTAGTTCTATCCCAATCAGTAAAATATCTAGGAGTTAACTTGGACTATAAACTGAATTGGGGAGAGCATGTCAAGTACAAGGTTAACAAGGCTCGCAATTGGTTGTGGGCTAGCAGACGTGTTGATAGAGTGAGGTGAGGGCTTAAACCTAAAGTGGTACACTGACTCTCTTTTGTATGGATCCCTGGTTTGGTGGCCTTGCATTGGAACCGAGTCAAATAAAGCTACTGGATCTCGCACAAGTGTCACATTGCCAACTTAGTCAAACTACAAAATGTCCTGATGAGTGGAGGTGATCTAATTACCCCTAAATATTGCTTTAACCGCAAGTTTAATGTGGAGTATCCAACAATGGCATAGTGGGACTCAAGCCAAAAGGTCTCGGAAGGGAGTGGGCAGGTCTGTTACACAGAAGTTCGGTCACTGAAGAGAGCTCTGGCACTGGAGTCATTGAGCCTTGAACTAGGCTATCTCTGCCCCTCGGCGGATACACCACTATTTTCTAAGCGGAAATCTATGCGATTCTGGCAAGCGTATCCCGCATTTTGTAGGGTGAAGGGCTAAGGAGAAGAATAAAAATCTTCTCTAACAGCTAGGCTATGATGAAGGCCCTAAGGGCCTGTAAGAATACTTTGAGCCTGGTATTGCAATGCAGGGAGGCTCTGGACAGTCTAGTAGCTTGTAGCCTGAGTAGGGGGACATGCTGGGATAAAACTCAATGATATGGTGAACACTCTTGTGAAGCAGGATCAGCGAGCAAGCTTGTTGGTTCTGAACACCAGCCCTTGGGGTGCCCATGCTAACACGCTAAGAGTCAGGGAGAAAATGGAGAACTGGAAGGGAGCTCATCCTAGAGTCTGCTTTTGCTTATCTTTGGATAGAGCCAACTCAAAGTTGTTGGTGGAACTGTTGTCTGGCCATAACATGTTGAGGCACTTCCTGCTTGTGATGGGGGTGGCTGAGGATGCCATGTGCGAGTGCTGCTGGATAAAAGAAGAGTCCTCCGCGCATGTTGTGTCGCTGTCTCAATGAATGTGGATCCCCAGAATGTTCAGGAGCTGGGACCCATTTAAGTGGCTCCTCATGGTGGTCAATATGCTTCTAATTTCATAATTCATTCAAGCTTGCCAAACTATCTGCAATTGGCAAGCTTATGCAGCAAGCTCAAAATCAAGTTTTCATTACAAGACTACTAATTGACAAATTTTTAAACAGGGGCATTTTAGGCATTCTTCAATTTTCGATCCTCCCTCCCTAATTTGAGCCCAGCAGTGGTCCTGCTTTGACTCAAGAAATAGATAGTCATATTAGGTATAATCTGTGACACATACCTGTGCTTGTTCTGTTTCAACAAATTTCAATATTTCTGCTCTTTCTTCATCAGTTATTTGATCCAGGGTTTGTACAGATGGTGTAGGAGATGGGGCTCTGGCCATTTTGTTAGCCTTTGCTCGAGCAATACGCCGCATCTTTTTCGCCTTCTCAATTCCATCATCATCGTCATCTAAATCTGATGGTCGTTTCAAAGCTTGTGGTGGCTTCAAGAAAAGGATTAGACAGACTAGTGATATAAACATTGTTTGGTAATATTCTTGATGTAATGCATATGGTGCTACCTTATAATCTAGTAGTTCTCCTACATCCATTATTTCCAAAAAAAGTTATTCTAGAGTCGTATCCAAGCACCAAAACATAACCACAATGGGGCACTATGCACTATATTCAATACGGATATAATTTTATTTCTAACAAAAAATTAATCACTTATCTACATACGGGGAGATGGAAACCGCGATCAAAATCATCAAATTTAAATCCCTTTTTACATGCGAGTTAACAAACAGATTATTAAAAATGTTTTGGAGAAACGTCAAAAAAACGACATCGACTGACATCGACAAATCGACATCACAAAACAATCGACATCGACATGATGCAATTGTAAGCCACAAAGAGACAGACGTAAATAGTGATGTGTAGTTCGCGAACGAACTAGTTTAATCGAACGGTTCTTATGATTGAAAATTTTCTAACTACTGGTTTTACAGAGCTGTTTCCAGTGTTTTTTTGGTTTGAGGGTGATACGCTTCCGAACTGCTCCAGAACAATGCATGAAAATACAACATGCAGTGGAACGGCATTGGTGCTGAGCACTCTGAGCAGTGGCGGCCGGTCCATAGGGGCGAAAAGGCTACAGCCCCCCAAGACAAAATGCGAATTAACAAAAAATTTAAAATATGATTTTGTGATTAAATAATTTCCAGATATATACGAAAATTCAATCAAAACCTGAATTTTAATAGTAGCCAGTTACGCAACACGCAATATATATATATATATATATATATATATATATATATATATATATATATATATTATCCGATCCCAATACCCCGAAGTCGCGAGCTAGATTCCCTATCGATTCGAGGCTAGAATAATTTTTGCCGCGATCGCCGACCTGATTGAGTGGCTCGCTACGTCATACCTCCCACGCGCTTACGAGTTTTATACGGGATTTTAACACGCGAGTTGGCGAAATAATTTTTAGCCAGTCCCGATTTACGTGTGTACGAAATCGCTTCGTCGCGTCCCCGTGCCGTCGTTCGGGCGTTCAAAAAGTTTAAAATGGCAAATGAAGTACAAAATTTGTTAAAAGGTGAATTTTCTCGGCTTCCGCTTGCTGAAAAAATAATAATAAAATCCCTTGGAAGGCCGATTCCAAATATCAACCTTACTCAGGCTGATAAATCAACGAAAGCTGGTTGTTTTAAGAGACATTTTAAGAAAGATATCTATAACAAAAACAAATGGATATGCGGTTGTGGCACATTAAACGCCCTGTTTTGTTTTCCGTGCTTACTGTTTTATTCAGATGCAGCGGAAAAGACATGGACAAGAACTGGATTTAAAGATTTAAAGCATATAAACCAGAAAATTAGTAAGCATGAAAATTCGGCTCGTCACATGATTTGTTCGACAGAATTAGCTTTATTGGGAACAGCTAGTATCGCTGCTCAGTTAGATTCCGCTTACAGGCAAAATATTATTAAGCACAACGAGCAAGTGGACAAAAATAGATATCTTTTAAAAAGAATAATAAACTGTATAAAGTTTTGCGGTAAATTGGAATTAGCGTTAAGAGGGCACGACGAAAGTGAAGACTCTGAAAATCGTGGCATTTTTCGAGAGTTGATTAATTTTACGTCCGAACTGGATACAATATTAAAGGAACATTTAAAAAGTGCGACTCTGTTTAAGGGTACTTCTAAAACAGTACAAAATGAAATACTAGATAGTATGTTGGAAGTCTGCCAACAAGAAATTCGACAGCAAATTAATGCAGCAGAGTTTTTAGCTATACAGTGCGACGAAACAACAGATATTTCACATCATTGTCAAATGGTAATGATATTTAGATATCTCCATGAAGGTGAAATACAAGAAAGATTTTGGCGTTTTTTGAGCGTTACGGACAAGACAGCTGAAGGTTTGGCAAAGTGTATCGAAGAAGAACTAGGCCCATTATTAAAAGATTCACCCCACAAATTAATTGCGCAAACTTATGATGGTGCAAACGTAATGAGCGGTAGCAGTGGTGGAGTTCAAACAAAAATCAAACAAAAATATCAGAACGCTCATTTTATACACTGTTACGCTCACCAACTGAACTTAATTATGCAGAGAGCAGCCAGCCAAAATCCAAAAGTAAAAGTGTTTTTTTCAAACCTGTCGGCAATTCCAAGTTTCTTCTCCAACTCCACGCACAGATGCGATTTATTGGAAAAAATAGTTAAAACCAAAATGCCAAAGGTTGCGCCAACACGGTGGAATTATAACATTCGCACAGTCAGTGCCGTTTTTGAGAACCGTGAAAGTCTTATTGATTGTTTCCGGGAGTTAGAGAATAAATGTGATAAAACAATTACTAGTAAGGAGGCATACGGTTTAAGAAGAGCACTCGAAGATTCTGATTTCATCTTTTTTTTGACTTTTTTTCACAAAACCCTACCGCACGTAGCTATTTTGTTTAACCAGTTTCAAAGTAGGAATAAAGAGAGTGTACAACTTTTAAAAGATATTGACGTATTTGAGAAGGCCATTGTATTGATTAGGGACACTACAGAGGATATACAGCAAACTGTTGAAAATGAGCATGGAGACAATGGAAATAAACGCAGAAAAGTAGGACCCGAAGAAAGAAATTGTATTATTGCAAAAGAAGTTTGCGATATAATAATTGTACAGACAAAAGAGAGACTTTCTTACAGGGGTCATCTAGAAGCTGCATCTTTATTAGATACACAAAACTTCACAAACTATTCGAGATATTTTCCAGCAAAAATACTGAATTCAGTTGTGACTTATTATCCAATGGTAAATAAAGAAAAACTGAAAACCGAATTAGAAGTAATGTACATGAGGGAAGACTTCAAAAATATTACAGGTGGTTTGAATTTGCTGTCCCTATTGACTAATAACAACCTAGAGGAAACTTTTAGCGAAGTAACTAAGTTGTTGCAAATAATTATAACTACTCCCATGTCAACTTCCGAAGCAGAGCGCTGTTTCTCAACCCTTAAGAGGATAAAATCGTTTTTAAGAAACTCGATGGGCAATGAACCACTGAATGCATTGGCAATGATATCTGTTAATAAGAATCTGGTACATAATATCAGCAATTTCGACGAAAAAGTGATGGAACATTTTATTTCACAGAAAGACAGAAGATTAGACTTTACATATAAACATTAAAAAATATTTTGTAATAAATAGAAGTGTGAAGTGTGACAGTTGAAACACAATGTTTGCTCTAGCTGTAGGTAGGTATACTTAGTCGTTTATAATACAATAATACATTTAGGTATACCGTATTTCTGTTCTCTTTTCCAGTTATTTATAGTTACATGTGTTGTAAGAAAGTGAAAAACTATACTTTTGAGTACTGTTGTTCTTTTGATAATAGATGCTCTGTTGCTTTCATATTAGATGCTGCTTTCTTTTGCGATAAGTTCTCGTACCTAAAATATGTTTGTTCCTATACAGAGGACTGTACATAAAATATATAGGTATAGGATTGCCAACTGATCCATCCACAAAATCAGGACATAAAAAATGCAACAAAAATTATAGCTCTAAAAATGTATATTTGAATTTGAAGGCTCAAAATGGAAGTTTTTGGGCGTGGCACCGTAAAAATTCTTTGCCTCCGGCGGTGACTGCGGCAGGCCACCCTTCCCTACAATAGCCCCCCATTTCTCACAGCCACCGGCCGCCACTGACTCTGAGTTAGTCCAAGTCTCAGAGTAACTCAACCGGATCACTGGATAGCAGCTCTTCCATCTGAACATTAATTTTTTAACTTTATCGGCTCCTAGTCTATTTCTGCTGACAAAACTGCTTGCTCAGTGGTTCGCCTGACACATATGGCAGATAAAAACGTTTTTTAACCATCTTAACTAATCTGGGGTAGATTTTGCTCGTTTCTGGCACCATTTTAGTTGTAAAAACGGTTTAAGAAAATATTTATCTCGTTCGGTAATTTCCGCTGCGACTGGATGTTAAACTGCCTTACCTCAAGGTGAGAATCGTCCAAACGGTCTGATACTGTTTTCTTCTTCCCCAGTTCATTTTTCGCTCGGCTTTTGTCTGCGATACGAAAGAAACCTAGGGTTACCTAGATTTGTATTTCTTATATTCTTATTAGAAATTTTCTGAACTGGTGTAAGTCAAAAAACAAAAGTTTAGTTGAGATTGTTAGAAAACGAGTATAGCTCATATCCAAATTAACCACGCGCGACGCTGCTTAACTCCAGCGATCGAATGAAAGATTGGGAGGTGGTTACTCATTTCAGGAATGTAATATTTGATGATCATACCTGTTAGATGACTTTTTGATCAATGGAGTACTACGAAAAGTTCAACAGCCACCGCTGTCAGAAGAATAATCAGAAGTTCAAAGATTACGTGATCTCACCAAAAGGCACAGCTCTGAAAAATTATATTTGCAGATCATAACATTTGTAAGTTTTTATATGATTCAATAACCAGTGAAGATTTATTTGTCATTATTTTGGATTTATTTAATGAGGGAGGCCAGTGTCCATATTAGCAGCATATAGAGATATCAGTAAGATAAAATGATGAGTAGAATAATTTTTTTTTGTACCAAGAATGAAAATAAAATATTGAACGTTGAGATACCTTGATAATTTATAGACAACATAAAATGTAAATTTAAGTCAACAAAGTCCATTTGTGTTATTTTGAATGTTGTGTAAGTCATGTATATCGATAAAAATACTGTTAATGTGAAAAAATTATGGGATTTTTGCAAATAAAAAAAATAGATGTGTACAAATATTGTGCGTGTGGTACCTTCTGGACTCTTAATGTTGTTGGCAATAACATGGGCGCCCACAGGGAGGTGTCAGGGGGACCGGGGCTTCTCCTGAGAATCCGCTTGGACCATAAAATTTGCATATTTAGCAAAATTTTTAGTACAATCATGAGGATTTTTTAGCATTTGTCCCCGTTGAGAAAATTTGCTACTTTGCTTTTGGGGTAGGAACAGTTTCAGAAAAAGTTGTTTCTTGACGATGATTAGCTCCCCTGAGAAAAATTCCTGCGGGTACCCGTCGACAATAATATGATTGTTCTAATAAAAAAAACGAATCTGTGAAATGTAGTAAAATATCTTCATAATTCACTTTTTTCCTAATTTTTATTTATGCAGGTGCGAACAAAGGCTGGGGAATGAAAATACCGTGACCGTAACTGATGTTAATACTGACTAGTTTGTAGACAAATGTATGAGATTTATATTATAACTATATACAGGTTGAGTTACGGAAGATTACGCATTATTCTAAAGAACGGCGGTGCCGACCAAGCTGCAGCAGTGTGCTCGATATCGCGCGTTGCCGCTTTTCTCGCTTATTAGACTTCGCAATACACAACCTGTATATATTTAGGTATTTGCATCATTATGCTTTTCTTCTGAACCTTCTCAGATTATTAAGTAGATATGAGTGATCTTACAACATCATGTGTTATTGACATTGCTATTTTAACATACAAAAAAGCTCTAATTCGCTAAAATGTTGATACAGGCCGTTATAAAATCTTCTATATTCCACCAGATTTCTATATATAAAAGTATAGCAATCTCAGATTTATATGTAAAGCTGGCAACAATGCACAATCTGACAATCATGGTGCACCATCAAAAAATGGCGTTTGACAAGCACATAAGTCAATTGTCAAGTCTTTGAATAACATGAAATTCTACCTCCAGTATGTATGTTTTGTGTTACAAAACCATTTATAAATTTTGTGCTACAAATGCCAAGGTTGTCATCAAACGAAATCGATGACATAATATTGTAAGGTTAGCTGAACAATTTTAATGTCTACAATTTAAAAAGGTGTATTTGAATTCTTCCATTCACAAAGAAACTATAATGTCTGTAGCACCTGCGAACCGAGGTCTAGTAGCTTTATTTAAAAGAGGTTGGAATGAAATCCCAGAAATTATTGGTAGCTCCTTCATGGGGCTGATAGGAATTGGAATGACAGGTTATGGCCTTTATATCTACTATGCAAAGGATGGTGACAATAGAAGATACAAAGACCGTTACACAGTCTACAGACACGACGACCCAAGAGTGGAGAAGATAAAAGATTAATTCAAAAAACTTTGTTGTAATGGTAATGTAAAAATAAATGCTAGTGTTTTGTTGCATAGTTAATTTTTATTTTAACCAAATTAATGTATATTCAATAAATACAATGTTTCATAAAGTATATATTTTTGTATTTGAATACATAATATTAAAATTTACAGACTTCAAAGATTGATAAAATAGGCATTATATAATATAAAAAATAATAACTTAAAAATATTAAAATCAGTTGTGGTTGCATTCATCAGAAGATACAAATATGCCACTCAAAAGAACATTGACATTAGTATGTTTATGCATGCACCTCAAAATACCCTACTTTTAAAATATTTCAGTCAAACTCGATGCATAAGTACTAGTTAAAACGATCCCATCATTACTGCTGCATTTTTCAAATGTGGATCTGTAACTTTAATGGCAATAGAAGTTAACTCTGAAAAAGTGTTTTTTTAATGGGAAGTTTGCCCCAAAATGGTAATTAACCAAGAATCAGGCAATGGCCTAGTCATAAAAGTAGCATCACTGCATTAATAGTTTTGGAGACAACTAAAACTTTAAAAACAAATGGAAAGGCAAGTGACAGTCAACTTCAAAGTCATAATTATGTAACATGGAAGTTAGCTACTCAAGAATCGGACCTAAAAGACATGTTTGAAGGTTTTTAAGGAGTCGTTCAAGTATTACATAAGCAGGTATATTTTACAATTATTAACCCCCCAGCATACTCAAAATGGGATCTTTCTAAATGTCCATTAATTCTAATGCCATGTTCATACAAATTAGATCCAAAATGTTCACGAACAATATCAGACCAGCCAGTTCCCAACTAAGAGCCATTCTGCTCTCTACTTGGTTATACACATTTCTATCAGCAGAATTTATAGCTAAGGTTCTAATAAAGTTGCCATATGTGTTCAAATCATATATATTTTGTAGAAAAACTGAAAAATTAAAAAACTAATATTGCTGAAATAATCATCATCTGGACCCTGCATCCTCAATTTCATCAAAAATAAGCATAATGACGACCTCCACCCACTCTCCCCTTACTGCTTATGTAATACTTGAATGGTCCTTAATGACAAACTATTTTAGCTAGGATTTAGGCATGCGATTTATTTCAAAGACATTATGCTAAAATCGTTTTGAGATGTATGTGAATATAATAGCAGTGTCATTGTCAGTGATTGAGTAGACTTGCTTTGATGAAAACAACCAACATATCAGTACAGATCCAGCAATATGATACATGATGCAAAATTACACCACATAGCTTTTAAATGTCTACAAATAATGTGAATGGTAATTATTTTTTCCTTGAGATAAATTCATCTTAAATTATTTGAAATTGTTGTGATTTTGATGTGTTAGGGGAGGAGATTTTTCATTAGTATCCCAAAATGAACCATTATTTAGTAAGAAAAAAAAGGATTGATAATGTATATGTAAATGATCATGTGGGGTGAGTTTAATCATTTGCTACTTTGATTTCTATACCCTTGCCCACTTGCTTTTATAGATTTCTGAATATCACAATATAACATGTATAATTGTGTCTAGCTAAAAAAAATATGTTGAGGATTTGCCTGCATTTATAACAATAAATTTAACAAATTATTATTTTCAGTTGTTGCAATACAGATATGTTTGGATTCACTATATTTATTTATCAGTTATTAGCTTTAATTTACCTAAAGGTTGAGGTACACCAAGTAATGAGCTTTGTAAAAACTTGAATTTCAAACTGGCCATTATGATTTGATACTGACCTAAATTATCTCACCCCCTGGGAAGGGTAGGAAAAGCTAATCAATTTGGCGACAAATTACTGATTTTACAAATAACTTATGCGTTATAAATCAAACTTTTAAAGGACGATCTCTTCAATTTTGTGAAAACTGAATTATCTGAAAGACATGTGAGTTGTAAACTACCTAATTAGCTTTAGGGTCCAGCGCGTGACATTACACGATTTAGTTTAGTATCAAATTGAATTGTCAGTTTCAAATTAAAACTTATTTACCTTGCAAACCCCGCCTTAACTGTGGTTGAGTGAACTGTACTGATATTACACTGAATATATCTCAGATTTGTATAACAGAAAGAAGATGAAAATTAATCACTTTTGTTGTTGGAGTCTCAACACCAAGAGAAAAAGGGACTTTTGTCTTGGAAGCGTTGTGTGAAATTGAAAAACCTAGACGTATGCTGGGACCTGTAAAAAATTATTTAGTTAGCCGTGGAATACGAACAAATGATCTGAAAAGCACAAAAAATTATACTCAGAAATATCCCGCAGTATTGTTGAACACAAAGTAATACGTTGCTGTTCGAGAAAAACTTTTGAGTGTGTCAATATTTTCGGTGCGCCACAGTTCTTCACGCTCGAATTGTACACATGTTTTTTTTTCAACAACTGAAGTGATTTCCCTTAACTACAAGCATAATAATAGTAATTTCAATAGTGGTACCCATGTAACTTACAAAATCTGACAAAGCTGCACTGTTCCAACTTTTTGTATTGTTGCTATAGAACTAGCCCGGGTAAGCTGTCAATTTTGATCAGCCATGGAAAAGTTGGCAACTTTGCACGACTGACTATGACAATTGATCAACCTTTTATACCAAAATTTACGGTACGGTTACGCCGCCAACCTCATATACTCATATACTTGGAACCAGTCGAATCGATTACCATCTTGCGGTGGCAACCCTGCCATCTGCGATGAAGTATCTAGAGCCGCTTTCCACCTTTCCAGTGCTTTTGAATTGAGAGTTGTATGCACCCGGAATTTGAAGCTCCTGAACCGCTCTAGCAAATGTGCACGGGAACGCGAAGATAACTTAACCTGTTTGTTGATGTTTTAATTTGACGATGACAATTTTTATCACACTGCCAAAACAATGAAAATGCAAACACATTTTGCCTTTACTTTCAGATGCATTGTCAGACTATCCAACTGATGCCTGATGATGCTTTTAGAATGATGGCGCAACTCGTCAGAATTCTGCATTTTTATGTAAAGCTTCTGGATAAATGTGCCAATTCAAATTATTTCCAAAGTGTCTAGTTATAGATGAAGCCAACTACAAGCCGCTATGAACCTGCATTCTTGCACTCTCTTGTGATGTTTATTATTCAGGAACGTCTCAAATGTACGTTGTGACTAGGTCACAACAAAAACAAAAACGGTCATTTTCGTTATCCCCACTATTTCGGAGCGTATAACAAGCTGGTGCATATAGGGGCAGAGGATTTCACAAATGAGAAGCTCAGGTACATGACAGTCTAGAGCACTGGAACGGTATTGACAGGTGGTGGGTAGCTCCAGTTACTCCGAGTAACACAAATGAGGCAATTTAAAGTAGCTCTGGAGTGTGGGTCCACAAAGAACTGAAATAACTGTACACAAGTCGCACCACTGATAAGGTAAATAATGTCTCTGATACGGCTAATGCCATATGACGGACGTCACAGTAGTGAGGGGCGTAGGATTTTCGTAGGTGGGGCAAACTCGATTATACAGTACGTACCCCCAATCTATAACAAGGTCCTGGGGGAAAATAAATATAGGCAGCTAACGCTCAGAAGAAAAGAATTGGGTGTTGCTAGAGGAATGTTACGCAGTCTATCAAAATGAACAGAATCCTTTCAAGTGACGTACAGTATATAAGGTTAATTGTAGGTCGTGCCGCAATCTTTTTGCGTTACTTCGCAACCGAATTTGGCAGCTAAAAGAACGATTATACTTATTTACTTGTTCCTACGTAATAAATTAGATCCAAAACCAGCAGCCGCTAACAAAAGCGTTATTAGGTAACAAGGAAATCCCGTCTTTAGACTTCAATGGTATTCAGAATGATATGATAAAAAAAACTTACTTTTCAACAACAACAGCTGGCATTTGCACCAACTGCACTGGAGATTTGCCATCCTTCAGAGCTTGCGTTAAATTTAGGATTTGGCCACGCATCACAGACATTTGGCGTTCAAAAAGGTTCTTATCAAAGCCCTTGTCCTGTTTGAACAGCTGATATAGCTCATCACAGAGATCCTGTAAACAGTTGTAAATTCAAATGATTATGCCGTAGAAGTTAAACGTGAATGTGGTGCGAAAATAATAAACGGAGCTCAAAGAAAATATTATAATTGTAGCTATTGCGTGCTAAGACTACGTTGCCAGACGTTATCAGACCGGAAAAATTGCGTCAAGCAAATTGACTGTGTACTTGCCGCGCAGTTCTGACATCAATTCGGTTTATTTCCAAACCTAATTCAATGAGCTGTGCTTCCAAAAAAATGTGCTGAATGAGCTGCATGTTCATATTACGTGGAGTAAGTTGATTTAATGGTAGCCGCTAAAAAGAAAGTGGGACAACTTAGTCCCTCTTAGGCAGAAATATACTACATGTAAAAAAAATGAGTGAGGTGTATGCAGATGGTTCACATAGAATCGAAGCCGGACTATAGTCCTTGTCATGGTTTTTGGTCGTCAGTGACAAGCAGGGACAATACGTTTTCGAAATAATTTTCAAGATGGCGAGACGAAACTAAAGAACGTATGTCTAAGCTTACACTAACAAACGTCCGCGCACCGAGGCAGATTGCATGATTTATGTGTGAGCGAGATGGACGTATTAATGTGATGCTTGTAGTTTTAATGTGATCCGCCAAAAGCCGTTAAATGAACTATATGTATGTTCACTTATGTAAAGAGTCTTTCCAAATTAATTTCTGCTTGCGCATTAACCATATTTGTAAATACAAAAATAAATCATCACCGTTGCCCTAAAGGAAAATATTTGAAACATGTGTGACTATTATGTATATCAGGTGCAAAAATGCAACATTTACAATCCCCAATTTCAAACCACTACAAAATTTTTCAGATGATGAGTCGGGTGTCTGAAATCTCGCTTTTTTTGTTTTTGGCCTCTGCTCTGTCGTTACTGGATCGATTTTGAAAATCTAAAAGTTTTTTCGCCCTTGGCATATTTAAAATTTCATCAAAATCCAAGCGATGATTTCTGAGTTATAGACGGATCAAGGAGCAGCGGACAAACAGCCAGGCAGGCTGATGGGAATAAGTGACACGGTGTTTCATGAGCATCAAGAAGCATTATATATTGTTTTCGATTTTCTTCGCGATTACAAGAATTTGTTGCAAATTGGCACGTTAAAAGCGTCAACCAAATATCTCAACTGATAGCGTTCGGTATAAGTTGTTCTTAACGTTGGGCATTTCTCTTGCATAGAGTAAATACACAAAGCGTTAAGATAAAGGACGTAAATACGGCTCCAGCAAATGAGTAGGAGAAAAAATACGTATGGGCCATATCCAACTCAGACGCCGTATAGGTAAACCAAGATGTTTGTTTATAAATCGAAAATGAAAAAAAAAAAAACAGGTTGTCACATTCCCGTAATAACGGACTTGTGAGTTTATGGTGAGCGTCTTCAAGATGTTCGCGAGTGTATTCAGATCGACGTCGTGCCGCATAGGTGTGTTCTAAAGAATCACGAGGGGATAGTTGAAACAAATGAAATGGTGCAACTTGAGGGTGAAGCAACCTGGAGTTTTGGAACCGAGCGGCGACAACTTCACAGTATCTATAAGTATCATACGACAGGACGGTACTTCAAATTTCTCAGCAAATGAAATGGATGAGCGTTAGGGCGCTCTTCTTGTTCGTCAAGTACAGTACTATGTTTTGGAAGCTTTAAACTGTACAAGCTTGTTGCGCCTCTAAGCAGTGGTGACCTCCAGGTATCTCGTCAGAGATGAAGTCGCTGCTGGTCGTCTTTTCTCTAGCTCACCGGCAGAGTTCGGCCTATCACTGAATTCCTACATGTAGCATCCTGTAATCAGCAAAGTTGCGGATTGGACTGATGATACACGAAAGGACGTCGTTGATATGTAAGAGGGAACAATGTCGGAGCCAAAACCGATCCCTGAAGAACACCCGTGTTGATATTGTGGGATGAAGAGGAGAACCCGTCAATTATGACGGATATCTTGCGATAGGAACTCAGCCACCCATGTGCAAAGCTTCTCTGGTAGGACGGAAGTTTGCATGAGAGGGCAGCATGCCACAGCTGATCAAACGCTTTCGTGATATCAAGAACAACGACATGAGTATACTCGACAGTTGCGTGATGTAAGCTAGGAAGTCCCCTTTCGATCGTGGTGGTACCGGAAAACATAAAAAACACCTCTTTACTAAGGTAGGGTCACCAGGAAAGGCAGGAGATGACAGAACCGCTAAAATATTGAATCTGACACACAAAATGAAACAACAGAAAGTTAGGTTAGCAATATGGTATGGTTGATTATTACCTGCACAAAATTCATATCCGCCAATAGGGGCAGTACCAACTCCTTTATATTCTTGCTGAAAGGTACTTTTGCTTGCGGCAACCAGGCCCAGTGATACGGGTAAGCACGCCAACTGTCTGGATGTTTGTATGGAAATGCAAGCCCATTATCTATAGCTGCAATTTTAACGTCATGCATACCATTTTCGATGGTGCTGCGTTGGTTGCCTTGGTGGTCCACTTGAGCGCTTACAGTGTTGCCTGAAAAAATAATAAAGTTATTTTAGTAGCAATTTGTAAAGTTGTTCCTAGTTATCCCTGGTCCGCCGTCGAGCAGAAGCCAAGCAGTTGCTGGTAAATTAACCTACCTACTTTAAAAAAGTATACAATCTGAAGCTTGTTTGTTTATTTGTTTGTTGAATACTTATTTGGCATTAGTGCACAAATGTCATTTTTGTATAATTATTCTTTTACAGATTTCAAAAGAACTAAAAAACTCGGGTAGATAAACAGTAAAACGCTATGAATGCAGCGTAAGGGACTTCTACACTTTCTGACGATATGATTAGTACAACATCAGTTTGGTAGTTTAGTACTAATATGAAATTACCTACTGGGAACATAACAACACTGTCAGGGTACCAGCTGACGTGACTGGACGGTACCTTCCTATCCTTACTTCAGTGGTTACGAAAACCGTGGCTGATTTTGAGGCGGTTTGTTGTACACGTCTATTTCACTGGTGTAGCTTAAAGAGAATTGGTCTAACGCGACTATATAGTGATTGAGAATAGAAAAGTTCTGTAGTAGGATCACGAGTCTCGATCTCGAATGAAACGGGTCGAGTTGGTCGACAATCGAGTAAGAATACGTTCACGATAGTCGAATTATCGTCTCGACTCTATCAAATTTATTCAACAGGTTCCAAGCTATTGAATACAGTTTTTTGCTGCTTGATAGGTTACGTCTTTATTATTTATCATTTTGTAATTGAGTTGTTTATTTTTGATAAAAGTATTAAGCTTCCAATTGTACGGGAAAGGCTTTATTATACATTTCTATGGGAGGAAAATATCACGCTTCTTCGAAAACGACAAATTCCAAGGACACTTGAAAATGCTTTCCACCTGCCTGAGAGGAGATTTAGAGAACTACTTCGTCTTAGTAAAATATATAGACTGGAAAGTCAAAAAACATTGCATATGAAGAACAAATATTTAGAGTTGAACTCCTAAATAAGCTAGTCAAAATTAACCGAATGCAACATTGTACGCTATAAATGAGATCGCTCGTTAGCATGACATTATTGTACACTGTTTACCACCGAATTGAAATAGGCGAAGGGTTTGGAAAAGCAAGAAACAAGTAGGTTTTCAAGTTAGGTGATGTCAAGCTATTGTTACAAAATGCCGTGAATAACATAACCAGATAATAGAATGTGTTCAATAGCTGTCAAATAACTCGATATAAATAATAGTTCGCTATATTATATTGACACCTTTTATAAATGCTAGTTCGCACGCTCATCGAAAATAGCCTTTATATTCCGTATCTTTCGTACTGCCATCGTTAATTTTGTACGATTGAAGCTTTTTTGATATCACGGACTTGTTTTGTGCATGTTTTCAGAATACTTGAGTAATTATCAATACCGGAAATATTTCAAGCCTTGTTATTTGGTTCCATTACTGTTGAACACGACCTCAACACAAACCGAAGGCATTTTTATAGTCGAACTTTAAATATGTTACTTTTTACAACACTAATCTACTAATGTCCACAAATAAATAAAAACGTTAAAATAATTCTCCCCAACTAAAATTTATAGATTATGCTATACTCCCATAAACCTCGACCTGCCAAGTCTGAACACATGCTATTTTTTCTTGATTTGAATAGATACGTAACGGATTAAACTTAATTTTCCTTTTTCAAGCAGTGCTTTTCAGAAAGGTCCCCCCTACGACTCAAGCTGAAATTCGGGGTAATGATTTTGATTTATGAATAATATATTTTAGCATAACAATTTCAGGATGGCGGCTAGGTGTCATTAAGGAATATTTTTTATATGGAATGGAGGGGTCGTGTCATACCTTATTTTGAGGCTTCGTAAGAGTACTTCATACCCATAATGCTGTCTGTCACGATACAATCTTTTTTTCATAATTTGATACCAAATTTCGTGAAAAAATTCGTTACTGAATTTAGTTCCCAATTTGTTTACCAGTAACAGTCCCGTCTGACACGTAAAGTTGGTAGAAAAAAAACTATAACTGTCAACTTCTAACTGCCATTTATCAAGTCACACCACACTTTCCTTTGCGGCTTGCGACTTTATACCCTATTTCAGGAGTATCCATCACGTTTTGACGTCTACTGAGGTGAACAGCTGATCAGCAAGTGACATTTTTGTGTTAGTCTGCAACGTTGGCAATAATGAATCGGGTATGAATCTAGAAAAACTTGTTTGTAGCATTTTATTTTTGGTATGCAAATTAACTTTTCTAAATAAAAGAGCTTTTAACAAGTACAAAAGAAAACAAAACAAAATATATCTCTGTCTGCCTGGCATTGACGGATCCGTAGGAATTATGTGTCCTTTGCCGATATGGAGAACTTTGAAATATTACTAAATAATCAGCTGTCATTCTACCATAATGGATACTCCTGAAAATGACTATATTCCTTTAAACGAAAAGAAATGTGTAGAAAAGCGATCCCGTAATTCACATATATTATATGCGACTGCGGCAGCAGCGAATCTGCGTTGTAGCTGCCCACCTCATGAGAAAACACGAAGTAAACAAAACCGTAAAAGAATTTGGTGCCGAAAATGGATCAGGGAGAGGGACCAGGGCATGGGTGTGCTCCAAATGCTGAATAAAGAACTTCTATTGAAGGATCCACGGGCTTATCAGCCTAATTGGTTTTAAAGTCATTCTGATTTTATCCAATGCAGCTTATATGGATTTTCTGTTTTTATAGGCCTTGCTTTTTACATCATATAAACAATCATATTTCTCATGCTCGTTTAGCAGTATGTCACACTGCTCTTTTGATCATGACATCTTTTAGGTTTTCAATCTATAACTAGAAAAGCATAAGCAGGGATTTTCGAGAAACTGATAAACACATATGATAGCATCAACTAATGAAATTGTTTGAGGTTACTTCAGCCATTGTACTGGTCCAAATGCGCAGTATATTTCAGGAGTATCCATCCCGCTTTGACGTCCACTGCGGTGAACAGCTGATCAACAACTGCCATTTTTGTGTTACTCTGCAATGTTGGCAATAATGAATCGGGTGTAAATCTAGTAAAACTTGTTTGTAGCGTTACATTTTTTGTATGCAAATTAACTTTTATAAATAAAAGAGCTTTTAGCAAGTACAAAATGAATCTGTAGCGTACAAAAAAAAAACAAATATGGCTCTGTCTACCTGGCATTGACGGATCCGTAAGAAATATGTGTTTGCCGATAAGGAGAATTTTATAATATTACTAAATAATCAGCTGTCATTCTACCGTAATGGATACTCGTGAAAAAGACTATAGTTGTCTGCGCACTTTTAGAACAGAGTCTACAAAATTTAGCATTAAATTTTTTCATACAATGTTTAACACAAAATTTCGTATCGTGACTGACGGCCTTACGAATATAAAATCAGTATCTTTCACAATAGGTGTCAAAGTTGAGCGCGTTTGTACACTGAGTCGCTCGAGCCGCAAGAACCTATCGTCCATATGCTATAGTATGTTTTTTCAAAGTTCTTTTGAAAGGGTATATCCAAAAATATGTAATAAAATATGCAACCATACCATACTGTACCACATTGACCACATTACATACAATTTACATGTAAGGTCCTACAAACAGTGGTTAAGAAATGTCTTTTTAGAGATATTTTTAAAATTGCCCTATCTCTCTCTCTCATTACATCTATGATTTTCTGTCATATTCTCTTGCGAGTATGGATTCCGTAGGAGAAAAACACTAGGTAGAGCATTAGTGTGTATTTGTAGAGAGGTTTCATTTATTTTTAATGCGGATTTAGACAGACCCTTCACTCAGCCACCTTGAACTTTTCAACTGTTATAAATATAGTATTCTTTTGTCAATTTCATCATCCCAAGTTTCAGATTACTTACACAAAACAGCTAGGGGGGAATGGGACTTTCTAAAAAACATATATAGCTATGTAAAAAGTTGTCACTTTGAGCTTTGTGGACACTTTTTAATAAGCATTATTAATTATCGATTAGGCATGTGGCTCAATCAATTCCACCGAAAGTTTTTCCCACTGCTTTTTTAGAGGGTACTCATCAAATATGAAATGTTAGATAATTACCATTTGCTGTGGTCGGCTGATCATACTTGATGAGCCAGTTGTCATTGCCCCTGTCTGTATTTCTGATTATGTAATCCAGAACAACAAGTCGTTCGAATTGCATCTGAAACTTCTGAGCAATTGAAGGAACCAAAGGATCCATCTCAAATCGCCTTAACCAATAATCAGCATCTTTATAACCATCTACAAATAATTGGAATGATCCTACCTAAAAATAATAAAATAATGTGGAAAAATATTAACTAGTTTTTCCAATATATAGATGCCTATCTTACTTTTTTTATAACAAACGACTCGTTTTCCATTCCAGAAATTGATGGGATAGATTAGATGGGCTAACTCTAACGAGGGTTTGTCAATGGCGAGGTATTCAACCGACGTTAGAGAGCGCTATTAATTTCTGAATTCTTATGATTTTTTATGAGAATGAAATGGCACCTTTAGTATGACGGACGAAGCAATTTATTTTAAAAAGATACATACCTTTGGTGGTAAACCTATTCTATTAAACCTTAATCCAACATTTGGAAATTGTTCCATAATAGCTCTTTTTACCCTAGCCTTTTGCCTATCTATCCTTAAATAGTTAAACGTTTCTGACACTAACTTTACAACCTGCAAAAAATATCACTTTACTTACAATTAATCGTCGTTAATAATTTCTTGTAAATTATTTCATTATATGAAGGAAACTGTACAAGTCCAGCCGTCCAGTGGACGCCTTATCGTCCCAATTATATTCGTCAGAAATCACTCAAAAATGCTCGATATGGTAGTTGGAACAATTAACTGTAGGATCGTACTTACAATGCAAATTTTCATTTTCACGATTATTCAAAAAACAATAGCGACACTTCTAGAATAGAAAGTACAGCCAAAAATAAAATAAAATGACACTGACCAGACTCATTAAGGACAAGATAGGTATATTTTACAAATAACGCTATGATGAGTTACTGTTCAAATACACCTCATGCAATTTTTGAAGTCAAACTTCACTAACTTCAGTATCTTTCCAATGTAGAATGGATTCAAGTCTTTCTACAGATTAAATCAGTCCAATCTTTCTCCAAAACAAATGGTCTCACAAGAATTACTCAAAAAGGCACATACGTAAAATTAAATAAGTCCAATAGGTGTTGCAGAAAAGTGTGGCGTAAAAATCATTTTTAATCACCCTTCTGTAGGTGTCTACGCCACTGGTGTAACTAAAATGGAAAAAAATGTTTGTGTTGTCTATGCGGTTAGTAATTTTTTCATAGTTAAGGGTGTATTTTAGGGCACATCTTTCCATGAAGTTTTCGTGTTATTTTTGCACCTACTTTCTATCACTGTACGTTTTCTGACGAATCACATTCGGTAAAAACTCATCGACATAATGACTGGCCCAAATAGCACGAATATTCTGCTTGAAAAAAATGCATACCCGAGTTTTGGGTACAATATGCAATCCTAGCTTATGGTCGACAATATATGCTCCAGCTTCAGAAAGGTATCCCTGGTTGGGTATTAAACATGACCTTCCAAAACAGCAAGGACAGCACAGTTTATGCATCCATTTAGTCCACTTTGGATTTAGTCGACCATACGGTTCCTCATCTTTTGGTTTGAAAACAGCAATGATTTTCTAAAAATAAAACAAAATAAATAATTGCGCTTCCAATCAGGGAAGTTTAAATATTTCAAATAATGGCGAAAGCTACAAATATAAAACGATTTTTTGATAACGTTTTCCAAATAAATGTTACTATTTTCAAACGCAGGGGTGTTGGCAGTAGGACGATTTTCTTATTCTGTAGTTGCAAAGCTTATTTTATTTTCAAGTGGTATAAAATAACCTTTTTATAGCGAATCAGCCACATAGACAGAAGCCTAAAAGACACTATGTTAAACCGATTGTTGAACTGCCTAATGTTAGTAGAACTGGTAAAAGCATCCTCAGGTAGATTGTTTCGCAACCTCGAAACCCTAGTGACAAAAGAGCGATCATACCGGCCATTTTTGGATATACGAAGTTAGGAACGGTTAGGATGGGAAGTCGAAGTCAGGCGGGTCTGTCTGGAAGGCACATCGCGCGGTGGCGTCATAGAGAAGAGCTCTACATATATGTAGAAGAAAGCTAGATCGCCGACGCACCGTCGGCGGGAAACGGTTCCGAGACTGTCCGTTAGAGAAGAGTCATCGATCATTCGGACCGCCCGCCTCTGAACAGCATCGAGCATGGATAATATAGTAAGGGCGGCAGCAGCCCAAACATGTAAGCAGTACTCGAGGCTAGGTCTTATCAGGGCCTTGTACAGAGTGAGGGGGTTCGAAGGAGAAAATTAATTCTCAGCACTAGCCTAGCTGCCGCTATTGACGAGACGTGCACGTTCCAGATCACTATGTGAGAAGTAACCTTCAGGCACTCGATAAGAAAGGTGCTCTTGTCGCTAGTCATCAACAAAGCTTCTGGTCCGAACTTGATTCCCGCCATTGTACTGAAGAGATTTGCAGCGGACCTTGCTCCAATTCTTCCGCGTCTCTCCAAGATATCTCCCGAATCCGGCCCATTACCAGAGAATTGGAAATTTGCCACGTCCAGCTCATAAAAAGATCTGAGACCGACCCTTACAACTACAGGCCTATAGCTCTGCTTTTTGTTGTAATGGAGAGGTGCATGAATCAGGAGCTTCTGAAGTACCTTGAACGTCACGACCTTGATTATCGACAGGCAGTTTGGTTTCCTGCACCAGCAACTGTGGAGTAAACTTATCCAGCCTTATAGCGAGGCTCATGCCGTAGCTCTTGATATCATGAAAGCGTTCTGTCCGCAAGATATCCGTAGGAATTGACGGGTTCTCTTCTTTATCCCAAAATTCAATGCAGGGGTTCCCCAGGGATTGGTTTTGGTTCCAACTTTGCTGATGACAGCACTCTACAAGCAGGAATTCAGAGTGACAAGCCGATCTCTGCCAGTGAACTAGAGAAAAGAAGACTAGCAGCGACTTCCTTTCTGACGACAAACCTGGTGGTTATCACTGTTTGAGAATGCAACAATCTTGTACAGTTTAATGTTCCCAAAACACACGGATCAAAAGCGTCCTAGCGCCCATCGGGTTCCGATGGATGGTCGAGTTCTACCAACGAGCCGTTCATTCCGGGTAAGTCGGATTCCAGATCGCCGATTGCTTGATCTGACACGAACACATCTCGTCAATAGTGGAAGCTGCTGGGAAAAATTTGTTTAGGGCTAATCACCTCACTCTGAACAAGGGCAAGCTAAGACCAAGCGTCGAGTACTGCTCACATATTTGGGGTGTTGCCGCTCCGACTACGTTATTCATGATCGATGCTGTTTAGAAGATGGTTGTCCTACTGATCAATGACTCTTCTCTAAAGGAGTTTCCCCCCTCGCGTCCATGATGCCGTCGCCCGATGTGCATGCCAGACAGACACGGCTGACTTCGGCCTACCAATCTACCTGTGTCAAACTTCGTATCTCTAGAACTTGCAGATACGACCGCTCATTTGTCCCTAGGGTATCGAGATTGTGGAATATCTACCTGAGGAGGCTTTTCTCAGTTCTACTAACCTTAGACAGTTCAAAAATAGGATTAGCAAAGTTTTTTCAAGCTCCTCAAAGCAACCGCGGTGCCCTGGTATTTATGGTTCTACCTGCGCGGATGCTCTTGGTATAAAAAGGTCATCGATGATCTGGACTACTCCGACCAGCCGAATTTCGTCCCACTGTGCGTACTCTTAAATGTTTTGAATATATTTGTGCAAGAATAGTTTGTGTGACCTTCAAGACAGCTAATTTCTTTAAGTGAAATAAAACTTTCATACGATTTCCAACGCTGAAGCAATGTTATGTTTTATCTTTGATATCTTCTGATTTGAATAATATTTTGAAACCAGATCAATGACCGAATAATTACAAATTCGAGCATGTACGATAATGCAATCATTGAATGTTCTGTAACGTTTAAAATACGTATAAAGTTTATCTGAGATATTGGGTCAAAGAATATACTAAAAATAGACATCCTTGAAACGCTTTCTGTTAAACAGTCTGGATTGTCTAACAAATTTCAGACAACAAATAAATTGATCTATAAATATAGAAAATTACCAGAAAATATAGAGCAAACAATCTACACATACACCTGTGACTTATCATCAAATGTGTTCCCTAGCATGATTCAAAATGTACAATGAAAATATGGCGATGGCAGCTAAGCATGTGAAAAAATCGCTCAAAAAATAAAGGATATATTTGATGTTAGTCATTCTTAAAGCATTAATAACTCATGGTAGTTAAATCACTCCTAAGTACATTCCTTTGCGTTTCACCTGCTTACAGAAAGTATTAATACCTAAATCAAATTAGAGTATCATCACTGACGTCTAACATTTGCTTTTGCTATCTAACACCATTGCGTTACTTTCTGTCACATCATGGTGACAGAGGCATACTAACTACGAGTATAAGTTATAGCTATAGGAACTGAGCATTATGATTTTTTGGTATCCTTTGGTATTCCAAATGCTGTCCCTCTTTGACATCACTTGTTTACAGCACAACTCTTACGATGTATAGGTATATACAAGTATTGTAACTTGTGACAAATCTGTCTGGGTAATATATTAGCTATACAGATTGCACTTAAAAAGTGATTTATGTTCTGTTAGTTGCTCAATAGTAATTTGAAGTATCCTGTCTCCCTTGTGTAACTCAGACCGCTATGTTGTGGATGTCAAAATTTGGCATTACGGGCATGCCGACTGGGAGGGGCTCAGATACTTCTCTACCCTTCCTTGGAGAAATGTCTGTTTCAGTGACGCTGATGCGTCGGCTGTCTGTTCTTCGATAACCGAAACTATCCACGTCGCTATGGAGGAATACATGCCTCATACTGCTGATATAATAGAAGTGCTTGATTTTGTCAGTATTTGCACCATTTACTTGATTTGTTTAATGGGCAGTTCAGAGTCTGAATCCTTAAGCTTATTACATACTAGTAGACCCTGTTGCGCACTTTGTCTATAGGCAGTCTGAAGACGGTCTCAAGACACGACCTATAGATGGTCTACAGACATCCTTCTTTGTCTTGTCTAGCGTTCATATGATAATGTGAATTTTTGGTCTCATGTTCGTTTTCGCAATCAAAGACATTGTTTTGTGTGGAATGAATTGGGATATGTCTCGGGGTCCCTCAGAATGTTTTATTTTTTGTCGGTTAACAGAGCAATGAAGTTATATGTATTTGAATCTTTAATATTATTACACTAGTTAATTATAAATGCCTTGTACTTATTTTGTTCTCAAATAATAAAATATTGGCTTTCTGAGGATTTCTGAGCAATTTCCATCTTTTTTCTTTAAGCTGGCCTTGACCAGATAGAACACATTGGATTTAAGGAGCAGTAATAGGATACATTCTAGAAGTTCCACCGAGGTTAAAAACCAGCCCCAAATATCGTTTGCCCCCCCTTAGACGAAATCATGAATCCGCCCTTGAGTATCATACTGGACATATACGAGTATTTGATAATTATCATCCGTCTAAGGTAGTTAAAAAATCAGCGAGGCATCCGGTATCGTTAATGTGGGTACCGGGGCACGCTGGGATAAGTGGCAACGAGACGGCGGACACTCTGGCGAAGACAGGATCAGCCAGCAAGCTCGTTGGTCCTGAGCCAGCTCTAGGAGTGACCGCGCATAGAGCTAGGAGGAAAATGGACACGTGGGTTGCAAGACAACACTCTCAGAAATGGAGAAGTATCTCCAGACATGTCCGCCAGGCACGGGAACTCATTGAAGGGCCCAGTGCTAAGGATGGACGTTTCTGCCTATCTCTGGATAGAGCCAACCTAAGGTTGCTGGTGGGACTGTTGTCTGGCCATAACACGTTAAGGCGCCACCAGCACGTGATGGGGGTGGCTGAGGATCCCTTGTGTGAACGCTGCGGGGTAGAGGAAGAGACCTCGGCGCACATTTTGTGTCGCTGTGAAGCTCTGAGCTACTATAGGCAGACTATACTGGGTTCCATTACTTTGGACCCTCAGGACGTCAAGGAGCTTGGACTCAAGGCGATTCTCAACTTCGCTAAAAGGGCGAGGCTTGTGATCTAAGGAATGTAGTGGTGCATAAGGGCCTGCTTAAGCGACCTATGCACTGGCTCCTTATGGTGGCCGGAATGCCTCTAATTTCAAGATTCATTCAAGGAGCAATAATAGGGTACATTCTAGAAGTTCCACTCATGTTAAAAAATGACCAGCCCCAAATATCGTTTGCGCCCCCCCCCCCTAGACGAAATCCTGAATCCGCCCTTGAGTATCATACTGGACATATCAAAATGTTCGACAGCACGATTGAGAAGACGTAGCAAATAACAGGAAACCGTGAGCGCATGAACGCGTAATATCACGTGAAGGTAGGCCACAGGAACGTTGGATATGACATCACGTAAGGCGAAAATTATGAGTTGGCGCCTTAACAGTCTCTGTCTGCAAACTTTGAAGGCAAATCTGTAACATATGAGTGCTCTACGTTTTCCTATGGGTTGTCCAGTGCTTTCCTTACTTGTGTGAGGAGAGCTAGGTATGGACCTAGCCCTAGGTTTCGTATGGCAGGTAGTGTTTTTTTGACATCACAAGACTATAAACAAAAATGAGTAGAAAGTAAGCATGTGCCTTTCTTGTTCTTATTCTACCTGAGTATTTATATTGGCATCTTTGTAATTATTAAGAAAATAATACTCTTGTTTTTAACTGCATGTTGTATGAACTTCACCAAAGACATGTATATTTTTACTTCACTAATGCACCTCCCCTAGAAGTTCTACATTTATGTCTGCTTTTATTCACAACATGGCCAGGAAGTCCTCAAGTCATGCATTAGATAAAAGCATCATAGAATTCGTACATAATAAAAATATAGATACTGAATAAGTACATACACCTCACCAGAAAATTAAATTTACCAAAAGGAGTGATTTTAAATTTTGTATATAAAGGATAGCCTTTGTGTCAATGTTCTATAAGTTTATCTACCCCACATACACTTGTGGCTAAGAAATATTCTATTATCTCTATAAACAGATGCATAAAAATACATATATACATATACATTCTAGCTTTAAGTGCATTCTAAATAGACTTACCCCTGACTGATTTTTGACAAAATATGACCCACTGGAACCTTGTGATATCCTCTCTGGGAAAATACCATTATCAATGGCAACTTCTGCTTGCCACACCAGTTCGCTGAAAGCTGGATCATCTGGTAAAGAATCAAATTTCCTTGATAATTAAAATAGTTAGTTATAAAAATTGTAGGCAACTGTACTATCCTAACTTAAAAATAAGACTCTCTCTAGTGTGATTCATAAGTATGTAACAACACAAGCACGCATTCCTTTAAATGAGATTCTTTTTTATTATTCACTCATTCTAAACAAAAACTAGACAAACAGCATAAGTCAGAACAATCAACCTCAGAAATACTTTACTGAAGACCTCTTCTGTTTAGAATGAGTGAGGAATAACAAAATATTTTTAGTTTAAAATTCCATTTAAATGTTCATGTGGTCTCACAAAAAAATCTGAGAGTTTATTCTTTCTCACCAAACAGTCACGGATTAGCAAGAGTACCTATCAATTGCCAAGAGTCCATTGCATCAAGGCTTTGTGAGAGTAAAAAAAGCATCTTGTCTGGGAGAGACAGTACCTCTCACTGTGCGATTTTCAGTTCACATGAACCGCTTTCAGAAGCAGTGATCCAGTATCCTCCAAAATATGCCAATATATAGTCGTTGTTTTGACGAAAACTCCTATGTGTTTAGAAGCAGTTTGATGAGTTTGGGCATTCAACTCGGCATTCCAGGTGCGGGAGCGTTCAATCTTCGGTCCGACCAAAATTACTAAGTCAGGAAATGATCCAGCGCGGAATTTGTATCTAACGTTTGGCATCTGAGTAGAATCATGTCATATTCTACGCGAGATTATGCAGAAATGCATTACTATTATGGTGCCGCACTAGGAACTCGTGCAGCTGCTCGCATGTATTGGGAGTATGTGGTTAGAAGAGCTGGACCACAACCGGCGGTATATCCCGACTACCGCTTTTTTCCTCGCGACCATAATGCGTAAATGGAGGGCCGCATGCTAGGCACTCATCGTCAGCTAGGAGCGCCGAGGATACGCTCAGAAGAAATAGAAGGTATAATAGAAGCAGCCGAGGAGATCCCTCTATAAGCACCAGAGCCATTGCCCGTAGAAGAAACATATCCCATACTTCAGTGAGTTGAATTTTGTGTGAATATTTTGAGAAGGTGCGAAGAGGATGAAACTTTTTTCGACAGCATCTTATGGACAGATGAATCCAACTTTAACCAAAATGGAATATTCAACATGCACAATTTCCATTCATGGAGCGTGGAAAATCCACACGCTATTCGCCGACACAGCTTTCAACGTCAGTTCGGCATTAATTTATGGGCTGGAGTACTCAAAAAAAAATTAATAGGACCATATGAATTGCCCGCCAGATTGAATGGTCAGTCATATTTTGCTTTTCTAAAAAGCAGTTTGCATGGGCTGCTAGGGAATGTACCTTTGGACGTTCTAAGCAGCATGTATTTTCAATGCGATGGTGCCCCATGCCACTTTGCACGTGATATACGGCTTTACTTGCACAGTGCCGTTCCTGGGTGTTCGATAGGTAGTCCACCTCTACCTATCCACATACGATGGCCTCCAAGGTCACCCAATTTAAATCCTCAAGATTTTTCTATATGGGGGTTTTACAAGGGGATAATCTATACATCTGAATATACAAATGTCAACCAACTGCGCCGGAAAATTGATGAAGCGAAAATAAAAATTATGGAAAACGCAAATTCATTTCAAAGACTAAAGGACAATTTTATTAGAAGGTGTCGCTTGTGTATAGAAAATAATGGAGGCCATTTCGAACATATTCTTTAAAAGTTAGTTAAATTATACTATCTTCCACATTTGGCGGTAAATCGCCATAAAGAGTGGGTAAACATAATAAGTTCTGTACTTGTAGGTGGTAAGGATTCTATTGCGTTTCTTACGTTTATCGCACCACAACAACGAATGTGACAGGATACACTTATCATAGCATGCTCAAAGTTTCAGGATTTGTTCTACATGGATGGAAATAGTTTTTACAATAAAATAAATACCTAATGAAATACAACCTCAATTTTTTTTACTGCCCTCCGAAGTTGAGACATGGAAGATTTTTCACAAAAAACGAATTTAAGATTTTTTGCGTTGATTTCTAATAAGCTCTGTTAAAAAGTGACAACCATTTCTAAAGCTAGCCATTTAGCTCATCTCAGAAAAAAATCACAGCCCTAAAGCTAATGGTTTAGTTGTAACTGTGATTGAAAGTTCATTATCTCATTTTTTTTCAAAATTTCACAAAATTACAAATATCTTCTGAACTATAAAATTTCGGACCAAATATAGGGGTTCATTCGATAAGTTTTGAGGCTCTCTATCACCTGACTTCCATCGATCCACTACTAACTTTATACCCTATATATATATGAGCAGTAGTCATTGCAATTTGCCAACGACCAGTTGGGCACAAAATACAATTAATTGTTAATTGGGAAATTGGCAATTTAACAGGTAGACCCAGAATAGGAATGCAAATGAATGATAATAATAATAATAATATTTATTCCAAATCTATAATTACAAATACATTATATGTATAAATGACATAGATGTTGAACTAACATCATACCCAAGCAAACACTAAAACGAGGCATTCATGTACTCAGAAATATTGTGTGGTTCCAGCTGAATTTAAACCTGTTTCAGGTGGTTTTTGAAGATTCCTGTACCATCCATCCCTTTCAAATTATTAGGTAGTTTATTATGCAACTTGGCACGCAAGTAGAAGGAGTTTATGTGTGTCATTACGATATTTTTGAACAATAGACCAAGTTCCCAATTAACAATTAATTGTATTTTGTGCCTATATACAGGGTGTCCGCAAAGTTGGGGTTTTCCTTTACACGACGTGTAGATCTTGAAAACATAAGCAATTTTTCTTAGTACCATATACACCAATGGCTTAAGAGAACCGAGATAAAGGACTCTGCAACATCAAAAATATCTGAATACCGTCCTGTAGCCGCGACTCGCGACGTCCCCAACTGGTACTAGGACACTAGCTCAACCCGACGACCGAATTGGGTCGGGGGTCGGGGTCAGTGTGTCAGGTCAGTATGCAACCTTCAACCGACGGTTACGGTCACGCGTGTAGAGGTAAACGAACCCATGTAATCGATTGCGTTTCAAAAAACAACAAGCACTAGAGACGTGGCTAGAGAAGTGCAAGTATCAAAAACTAAAGTGTGGTAAACGCTGTCCGTCGGGCACATTTTCAACAAACATTTTCGGTGAATCTTTGGGCTGGCATGGTGAACGGTATGCTCATTGGACCATTTATTCTCCCAAATCGATTGGACAGGATGCAATACCTAGACTTTTTACGCAACACTTTGCCTTCCTTGTTAGAAGATGTGCCATTAAGTGTAAGACAATCAATGTGGTTTCTGCACGATGGTCATATTTGTTACCTCTGTTCGTGGTCTACTGGTCTGCACCACCGCCGGCGTCTGCTCGGTAGCGCATCAGCTGATTTCATTTTCTGTTGGAGCGGTACGATTTCGGGCAGAGACGTACTTAGCCCTTCTCATCAACTGGAGAGTGAGTACTTTTTTCTTTATTTTTTTTACTTGGTTGCCCTCGTTTCACTACACATTACCTTTGTTATTTCAAGGGTAGTTGTTTCTGAAAAGGAAAACCCCAACTTTGCGGATATATATATATTCTGCACTTCTTATTTGAACATCCTAATTACCAGTTTATTAAAATTTGCAATTTGTTTGGATGCTCATAATATTTGAACATAGGTCAATATATTCAAGTAATTATGATAGGGACACAGTGAAGATAGAACGTTCTAACTTGGGAGAATAAATAAGTAATGCACAGAATAACTGGTATATGCATATAGGCCACAAATTTAAAAAATTCAGTTAGGACATTCTAACTAAGGACAGCAGTATATATGGTAGAGGTATGCAACAGGATGCAAGGTATGCCTTCCTATGTTAATATGCTGCACTCCCAAAATCCTTTGTTGGGGTCTATATTATTTTTGCCATTGCTATGTGATTTGAATTTTAATCGTTTAGGAATAGAAGCTGCTGGAGTGCTGTATAAAGTTTCAGTTGTCTATAATTAGCATTAAGGAGTTGTGTAGAGTTCAAAGATTACTTTTAACTAAAACAGTAATTGCAAACCTGAGTTGTTATATAGTTATTGATCTATTTTGTATTATTATTAGTCTTTAAGTTACTAGAATAATCAAGAATTAATAACATTTTTAGAAAAATGATGTTAGAATCAAACAACTATTGTCGTTTTATTCAATTTGAGCCATGTGTACCACCTAATTATACAAATTAGCTATTATGGTAGACTTGAAACAGTGACTATTTAATAATTATATGCAATATTATAATCAATTATTGATGTACTAGTGAAGCAAGAGATTCGAGTACCTGGAAATTGATTATAAGAGACATCCAGCCCTCCCAAAAGGGGCTGCGACTCTCGGTTTACCCCTGGGGAATCCAATGCTGGTTCAAACGCGACTTCTGGTACCAAAGGCACGTCTTCGCTGTCCCCACACACTATCGATAGGTTCTCCGTCGCGCTACCTCCACCACCTCCGCTGCCGTTTGTGTTCACTAAGATGGGGGCCGTCTCGCTAGCACTCATCACCCAAAAAGCCTCTGCTAATTAACTCTTTTACGTAGGCATCACCTTGGACTGCTTAGATTCGATTTACGATTAATTGTTGGTATAGTTAATTGACTAGAATTTTTGCAGGATAAAATCAAAACAAAATAATCGTATTACATTAAATTAAAAAAATATCAGGAACAAAAAGATCTTGACATCATTTGTGATTACAAATTTGACACTTATTACAGACTTGACAGCTCGACAGCTGGCAAAGGAAAATCGAAGTGAGACGTCAATCGGCCGTCAACAATTTTCCTAATTTTCTCGTGATTTTCCCCTCCTCTAATGCGGGTCCCACACGATGCTTCCAGCATTGTATACAACCTTGCGTACAATGTTCGACACACCACAATTGGCAAGTGCGTCTCCTACACGATGGGATGCACCTTTTAGTCTAGGACGTTTGACGCATGGTGGCGCCAACACCTATTATATTATCGGTGTCAGTCATACAAAATAAACGATGAAACAATTTTTTCGAACGCCAAAAGTAATTTCAGAAGTGTCGAAAAACGAAATTTGACCGTTTTTTGTTTGTTTTTCGACGATCACTCCTCCGCCACTGAACCGATTTTCAAAAACTGCAGAGCTTTTTCGACATTTTCATAGTAGCAACCTAGGATCAAAATTTCATCAAAATCCTGATAGTACTTTCAGAGTTATCATATATTTAATCATTTTCGTTGGTTATGAAATGCAAGTCAATAATCAAATTCAAGCGGATAACCAAATGGAAATGGTATTTACCATTTTGGCTTGGTATTTACCAATCCGTTCAAGCGAGTGTAGTTATCAGTTTGGTTATAAGATCCGTGACGTCACGAATCAGCTGTTATATGTCATAGTTATCACCGCAAAATTGTGGTATTTACCCAACTCAAGAGTAGTTTTATATTTCTGGTTATTATTTGAAATGTGACAAGTTAGAATTTTGCCGGGTATTGGATATTGTTATTGTACTTCAGCTTCATTTTTGAGAAAATTTGATACAGGCTGACTTCAGTTTTACCATAAAGTGGAGCACCTTATTAGTTATACTCATTACGGTTGTTGGGGACACTTTAAATCTAGTTCCTATGCTTAACAAAGTATCCTGTGTAGCCATATACAACAAGAATATTAAAATATGGCCATATAAACTCACTAGATGATATCCACCTGTATACGGTTTTGCTAATTTCTTTTTTCATCATTTCTGCTGAATCAATAAATGTTTTCTTTGACATGCGGAAAAATTTAGAGAATTGAAAGTTATCATAGCTACAAGGCCATGGTTCCATCATTAAAAAAAATCTGGAAAAAACATTTCTCCCATGAATATTATGAAAGGTTTCTTATTTAAACTTTCCATATACAGTTGTAGACGAAAAAGCACCGATTATTAAGTGATAATAAAAATAATCAGAGGTTATATACGCGCTTTTCTAAAATAAACAACTTGCAACAAAACCGCGGTTAAAACCAACGCGTTCAAGCGATTCGTGTAACTGACGTCATCAACCCGTGTGTCATCTTGAACCATATTATAACAGCGGCACATAACACAGAAATTTTGGTTATACGCTTGGATTTGATTAATATATCTCTCAACTAGTCTTGCATTGCAACAGGACATTATAATGAAACAACTGCAAGCACTTGATAATTTATAATTTACTAAAATACATATCCTTAGGCCAGCCATAACTCACCTGCGAATCGTACAAAATATTAGCAATATGAAAAAAGTGCTGTTATGGCAGCATATGCTTTGTATATATACTACTTTAATTCATTCTCCTCAAAAGTTAGTTACGGGACATACATTATTATGAATAGATAGGTATTCAAATCAAAATACTTCCCAACATACCACTATTTCGCCACAATCACAGCAAACAAGTAAATAATGTTTTTCGCCGCTACTAGTTCTAACCTAAAACCATCAAACACATGACATCTCGTGTGGGAGCGTAACAAACCTTGCTTCCAGCGTTGTGACGTCCTTTGACGCAGGTTAAATTTACCGACAAGAGCTCGAACGTGCCATGTGGCGAACGTTGGACACATTTAATCCGTCAGCGCTCTCCCACATGTTGTGGCGAATGGCTATGTGTCCAGCGTCCAATACTGAAAGGAATTCGCCACATCGTGTGGGACCGGTTTACAGCCAAGAAACCTAACGCCAACAAATTTCTCTAAATATTTGAAAGATTTGAGTGTTTTGTAATACCTCAACAAATGTCAGAGGCGACTCAGGCGACGGATTTCCTTGTTTTGCGTTCGATTTTGCCTGACAGTGACGTGTTTTGAAAAAAGGTCTTTTCAGAATCAAGATGAATTGGTTTCCAGCTAAGGACCTTTTAGTATTAATCCTACTTAATTTTAGCCAATACATAGATATAATTGGAGGTATGTTTATGTTATATTTAGATTTTTAAAGTGATATTTCAGTCCCTTTGCCACATTATGTGTTGTGTCGTTCCCTGATTGGTTGAATTAGTGATTTTAACCTTTTTGCAGCATCCACCCAACAGTTTGTAACTTGTGGGTCGGTTTTAAAATTAATAAATACTGACTACAGGGTACGGCTACATTCTCATGATGTAAAATACGGCACAGGCAGTGGTCAACAGTCTGTTACAGGCACTGAAGTACAAGAGGACATTAATAGGTAAGCATTGATGTCTTGAAGTGCAATGCTTAAAAAAAAAATATATGTTTTGATCTGTACTTTGAAAAAGGCCACGAGGCAGCCAAAACATTAGTAAAAAATGTAGCCTACACATATGGTTTCATTCAATGGACAGAAAATATTGACAATTGTTACTGTGAAAAACAATAAGTTTCAGCCACCATTAAGTTTGCTGAATTCAAATCTTATAGGAATCTGAGCTGCCTTTGGTGGGATCGTACAAGAGAAACAAATTAAAACTGCTGGATGTCATAGCAGGATCAATTCACATTTAGAAATGACTAATCCTAAATTATCCCTATGTATTAGTAAAGTTTTTCTTTGTGAAGACTAGGGGAAGTCAATATTCACGTTACTTTTTGGCTTTTGCTATATTTTGCTCAATTTCCTTTGTGGTTTTGTATTTGTGTGTATTTTATTGAAACCATATCACTCATTTCTATCAGTCTGTAGGTCTGCTAAACCTTGGCCCATCTGTAGCTTTGGTACTGCTCAGATTTTGATGAAGTTTTCACACAAGGTTACTGCTATGCCAAGGACAAAAAAATTGCAGTTTTTGAAAATCGATCCAGTGGAGGAGCTACGGAGCTAGGAGAGAAAAAAATTGCCCAAACTTCGATTTTTGAAGTGGCACGGGTTCCTGATCATTTTCAGAAAAATGTTTTTAGGAGTTGGGGATGGTAGTGGGGAGGATAGGTTACATCTTTAGTATCAGTCAATGACTTTTTGAGAAGCTTTGTATCCGGTAATAATTAGAAATTTAAATGGCAAAAAACCGATGAATAATGTGCTCACAATTTGAAATAATGAACGGCAGGCAGATAGTACCTGCTTTGACGCTAAGAGCCGGCCAGCTGCCGATTGTGGCTATTGTGACTGTTCATAACTGGGTAGTGCTTGGGTGTTAAGAAAACATATCACTTTGCGCTCTGCGAAACAGTGAAATTGAGCTCGGAACTCTAAAATAGACGATATGGCTCTGTGGAAATATGTTATAGTGAATGATAATTTGATGGGTTTTATACCTATACTTTTCTAAATTTTATGGGTCGTGAGTGTATCCATTTCGCCCAACATTTGTGTTCTAAAGTATGTGGTGTTTCTCTGGATATAAGTAGGTAACATCATAAATGTTTTTTTAGATATGAACAAGTCTCTTACTGACGTAATAACGAGAAGGGAATGAAGTCAGATAGATTGACTCAGTACCTCTCACGCATTTATATACTGCATTGTTTAAAAACGCTTTTTGAAGGTGTGTCATAATATAGTTATGAGTTTTTGAAAACTCATGATACATTATGAATAAAATTGTCAGAGACCAAAATACTGCTCCCCAAATTTGATTAAAATCTGTGCATTACACGGTTACAAGAAAACCAACAGGTCGACAGGTAGACCCAGAATAGCGACGTAAATGAATGATAATAATATTTATTCCAAATCTAGAATTACAAATACATTATATGTACAAATGACATAGATGTTGAACTAACATCACACCTGAGCAAACACTAAAACGAATTCATGGACTCAGAAATATTGTGTGGTTCCAGCTGAATTTAAACCTGTTTCAGGAGTTTTTTGAAAGTTCCTGTACCTTCCATCACTTTCAAATGATTAGGTAGTTTATTATGCACCTTGCGCGCATGTAGAAGGAGTTTATGCGTGTCATTATGATTATGGTATTTTTGAACAATAGACCAAGTAATCAAGCCAAAAATCGACCCTGTTTTAAAAAATTGTAGTAAGCTGTCTTACATCGGAATTATATCCTTGAAGGTATATAAAAATATGAGAAATGATAACAAATTTTGCTAGCAACTTTTTAATTGAATTTCGAAAGTTGGCAAAACCACTTTTTATGTTATGTTGATATAAGTGGTCAAATAAAGTTGTAGAGAATGAAAATGCCTTCAAAATGATACCTTACATATCTACTTTATTAGAAAAATAACGTTAAAAATCGTCGAATTCTACATTTTTTTACTGAAAAATGCATAACGGTAGTTCTGATAAATAGCCAAAAGTTAAAAGCAATTGTGCTTAGTATAAAAAATATCATTTGAATACAATGGCCTTTTGTGACGAGCTGTCCAGCACCCATGGGTCATTCAAATGGACTCAATTGGGATCATTCTCTTGATAGAGACTTAGTTTAACATCCTGTTAAAAGTGATACCAGATTTTCTTAAACGAACCATGAAAAAATACCGTCGCCAAGGGTGAATCTAGACAATTGGCATAATTCTGATTGTTTTTTGACACTCGTTATTATACACACTTTGACAAAAAGGGACCTTTCTTGAACTGTTGGTGGTTGAAGAAAAATAAAAAAGTGATACACACAGCAAGTGCCAATGGCGTTTTGAACTCGTGTACATTTACTAGTACCTACCAGCAGTCCGACAAAGTCAGACAGCTTACGCCGGCTCCACACGTTGGTACCAACGTTGGTCGGTTAAGTTGGTGAAGCGTCCACACGTTGGTCATTTCATTCATTCATTATACTAGTTCCTTTCTGTCAGAGCCAATGTGAAGATGTCCGACACCGAAACCGAAATTGCTCTAAGCGCTTGGATGCGCCTGGTATAACTCTAAAAATTCTACAACTTTTTCCTTTTTTCACGCGGGTAGCGATGTTGTTGATGACATATCTCCACATACGCACTCGACGTGTGTTACAACAAGACTGAGCCAGTGAGCCAATATGTGGACGGATTGCCAACGTTGGCGCAGACTCCTTTGATAAAACCGACCATCGATAGCCAACTACCAACGGTCGCTCCAATGTTGGGGCCAACGCTATTTTCTAGATACACACGTTGGGCGAGTGGCGTTGGGGCCAACGTATGGAGCCGGCGTCATGGAAGAGAGCTCTGAGGAGCAGAGCCCAACAAACTCGTGACATTGTCCATTAATGAAATTTTTCATACATTCTATTAATACTATTTCCAGTTTAGTTTCATTTCTGTTTTAGTCACTGGCAGGCAAAAGCAGCAACTGGAAAGACCTGTGTCAGAGGTGAACCAATAAAATGTGAGTCCACTATTCGACTGGAGCATGTGGAGACAAAGAAAAACTTGCATTCACATCTATTTTCAAGTCCTTTAAGTGGAAACCAGGAAATTAGCTGTTATGGTAATGATGGAGAGGGAGATACTGGTGATAACTGGATTGTTATATGTTCTGGTAGGTATTAAACTTTCCCTTTTCAGGACTGCTTTGGAATGAGTCTAGGTGCTGGATAATGTAATTGATGATTTTCTAGTACATGTATTTTGTTGTAAAGTGCCAACAAACAAAATTAATATCTTGGTTTTCTCTTATATACTGCATGGAAGGATAAAGCTTGTATTATTGCTGAATCGTGATGATGTCACAAGTTATGAGGGCAGTATGTCCAAGTGGAGGAGGCTTTCCCTCGTAGTTCCATGAATTTCAAATTTCTTGTTATTGGATAATACACATGAATAATGCTTTGTGATTTTTTGTGTATGGTCAAATCACCTGAGGTATGGTAACATATGCACTAGTTGGACGGTGTTGTCATGCAGAGATTTTCTGTAAACTCTCTCGGGTACTAAATATTCTATCAGTGTTTCCTTCCCGAAAAGTAACATCCTCCAGAAATGTGCCAAAATCACAGAAATCTCTTGGTCACTGACTTCATCCAACCATGGTAATGCTTGCTACATTTCACCATGTGGGTAGCATTGCATTTTGTACATACAAGGGAAACCAAATTTGTCTGAAGGCTTGAGTTCAATGTGTACAAGAGAGAAGCCTGATAACTGTTAAAATGAGACAAACACCGGCTGACGAGCAAAGGTCATCCACTACATTACCTATCAACGGTGACGCAGAAGGTGGTGCAATCTACTGCGTTGCCAATAGAAATGAGCAAAAACTCGCGAAATGCGATTTACTCGCAGCGATTATACAATCGCGATCGCAACCTGCGAGCCCGTTCCGTAGCAAACTGCGAGTAGCGAGCTGGTGGGGTGGTAGGTTCGCGTGAGCCGGTAGGCATGCAACCAACGAACCAACCGTACAATCGCGGCAATCGCTTTGGGAGTGACATATGCGAGTGGCGATTGGCGGTTAAAAACTAGCCGATGGCGTTGCTTTTATATGGTTGTGAGTTGTGACTGTTGCGAGCTGCGAATGCGAATTGTTAGGATTGGTATTGGTGGTTTCTATTTTCAATCTCTAGGTTGGTTTATTCAGTTTCAACAATGTTTAAAAAGAGGAAAATAAGTTATTGGTGGATTTTTTTCCGAAATTGACGTAATGAAGATGCACTATTATAAGAGACATTTGTTTTCATTTTTAATAAAATCTACAAATTTGGAATTATAAGATTTAAAAAAAGGTATTATCATTTCTCCTAACCTTTATAACACAAATACAATGTTATTTCGTTTTTTGTGATAACAGTTGTTAACACATAACAGTTAAATATGACCAATTTAATGTAATTAACCTTTTATAGAAGGGAAATACTGAAATAACACAGTCCCACAATTTCAAATCGCAATCACAGGTTGCACTCGCAGTGAGTGGGAAATCGCAATCGCAGTTTTAACTGCGATCACAAAATCGCAAGTTTGATCATCTCTAGTTGCCAATATGTTACCCCAGAAAAAGTTCGCTACTCTAGGTTAGGTTACTGTCAAACCCAAGGAGGAGGTCTTGATGAGACTTAGTGTTTCAAACGAACGGATGATGCAGTGTTGCAGAATTAGTGGCGATGCTGACCTTTCATTTCGACCTAAAATGGAGCGCCATTAGGACCGGCCAAGCCTAAACAGATGCGACACAATTCACAATTAAAAAATGTGTACGCTCAAAATAAAACCATTAAATGGACGTAAAGAATAAACTAAGGCATATTTTCAATATGCATCTTAATTCAAGGAACTGCTGTAATATACTGGTAACGCGGCAGGTTGCTAAGCAACGCGATGAGCTTCGCCATCCAGGCGGCTTCTATATCTTTCAAACATATGTGTCTATACACACTTCTTTCTCTTACACATTCAACTCACGCTGCCAGACAAATTTGGTTTTCAGTGTACATTCATATGCATGTATATGTACCCTCCAGCAAGCTGGAGCACGTTAGTTCCTTGGTCTGTTTTTACTATTACGTACCTTGCACGACGCCACCCTTCTCTTTGCTGCAATATATGCAGCTCTCATACTTTTTCTTAGCTACGAAAACCCTATTTCACGAGTATCCATCACGGTAGAATGATAGTAGAGGATCTAGTAATATCTCAAAATTCTCGATAATGACACAGGACACATAATTCTGACGGATCCGTCAACACCAGGTAGACAGAGCCGCATTTTTTTGTTTTTTTTTTTTGTATGCTACAGATTCATTTTGTGCTTGCTAGCAGATTTTTTATTTAGAAAAGTTCATTTACATACAAAAACAAAACGCCACCAACAAATTTTCACTTGCTGATCAGCTGTTCACCTCAGTAGACGTCAAAGCATGATGGATACTCCTGAAATAGGGTATAAAGTCGCAATGCAAGCGGTCTCAATATAAAAAAAGGAATTTTTGACGTAAATCAAGTCTACTACAATAAGTTTGTGCAAGATCCTCACTACATTTGAAGTTTTATGTCTTATATGGTATAAACGCCCCACTTACATTTTGAACGTTCCTCAGACACCAGACATAATTTGATTCATACAATTTACACTACTTCTTAACTTATTGTTTTATATCTGTTGTAGGTGATAACTGGCGGCGCGATGACAGTGTGATGCTGAAACACGCAGATACTCAAATGTACCTAACAGTATCTGGTAGAACTTTCGGTAGACCAATCAATGGCCAAATGGAAGTAGTTGGTATACATTCGTCAAGTGGGGCCGTTCACTGGCAGAGTGCAGAGGGCGTCTATCTTCACGCTCCAAATGCTGCTGAAAGGCATGTGCATGAAGAGGCGCATACTGAACTGTAATGTGTGAAAAATTTTGGTGGGAGTTTATGTGATTGTTTAATTTATTTTGTAATATATTAGACGTTAGGTTGAAAAATAAATGTTTTTTATTTTTGTTAATTTATACCGTTGGGTATTATTCGTAATTGTCATTCCGAGCCTATTTTTGACAGCTGTAGGAAAGAACATGGCGGATAGGTCATATATTATGATCCCTTCAATCATTATCATTTGCGCTCTATGTTTTCCGATTCTATGATGTGACAATCAGCTGACTGACACTTGTGTGTTGACAGTGAAGACGTCAATGCGGCTGTGATACAACTTTAAAAAAATAATTTCAAAATAAAAATGATAATGCAAATTATTATTATTGCTTTACTGAGTGAGATCATAGATAGACAGCCGCATTGTAGCTTCAATTCTCGTTAGTGGAATTGTCATTCGATAAATTAATTGTGATTTGGTAGTTGTCTTTTAAATTTTGGGGACAATTAGATATTTTGAATATTAAGAAACGATTCCAGTAGTCGATCCATAACGAAAGTAGCATTCTATGGCACTAATGTGCCAGTTCCCAACCAAACAACATAATTTAGGTTTATAGCAAACTTTTTAAGTGACTACATCAGAAACTGAAGTATGGGTCTTGAAAATTTATTGGAAAATTTAGGGAAGAACTCCCCAGATGAAATCAATGAAGCAGTCAGGGTGCTTTCCAAAATTGCAGATAACATATTGAAGGATCCTAAAAATAGTAAAATCAGGACTCTCCAAAAGAGCAATGCAACAATATCTAAAAAAATATTAGCCTTAAAGGGAGGTGTAGATTGCTTGATAATGATGGGATTCAAAGAGGTAAATAAAGTTTACTTTCAAATCGTGATTTTACTAGATTTTTTCATTACAGAATGCTACAAACTTCACTATGCCTTCAAATACATCATTAGAATCAGTAATGGAATTTAGAGAAATCTTAGTCAGTTGGAACAATTCCATTCTTAGAAGTGAAGTCCCAGCTTCACAGGTAAATTACTGTTTTATGGAGATGATTTTTCCAAGCATTGGATTTCAATGTTTTCTTGATATTGGAACAAAGCCAATAAGTATGTAACAGAATCTCTTGCAAACTAGAGGAAAATGCTAACTTTAGTATGATGTATCAGTTAAATACATATATCTTGAACATCTAAGGAATAGGATAACAAGACTTATAAATTAATATTTAAAACACTTGAACCAAAAACATCAGTACAATGCACAGAAGTCATTTTCCAAATAAATAGAACAAAATGTTTGATGAAACTTAAAGCAAATATAAATGTTGCAATAAGCAAAGTATAAAATATAGCACAATATAAAAATAATTACTAATTTAAAACTGGCAAAGATTTTAAAGTATGAAATTATGATCTATTTATCATAATCCAGATTTCAAGATGTTTAAATAACAATAAATGGACCGTATTCCTAAAATGTGTATTGAACTAAATGAATATAAAAGCAGTACTTACTGAAAAAAGGAGTGACGTATCAATAGTGAAGAGGTTAAATGGCGAACACTGTACATCTTCATGTTGAATTTGTTTGATAAATACCATAAGCTGAAACATTTTTATTACAAAAACTCACTTGATGTTATTGGATTGTAATAATTACCTTATTCTTGACCTTAGGGTGTAAATTAAACTCAGACAGTAAGTGACTGATGACTTCAGCTGTACTTTTTGCCTAGAATTAGGATTTTAGGATTAGAAGAGGTATTGATTAGTAGTATCTTTATTTGTAGTGCTTTCTGAATTTGTGTATATGAATATTGTTTCAAGTGATCACATGTGTCAAATTAATATTAATTGTACTAGTAGTGGCAGGGAGGTGAAGCCTGGCAACTAGGTTACCTTTGACCATTTTGGTAAGCCCATTTTACCATCACTGTACTCCATAGTAGGGATGCACTGAGTACTACCTTATTAAAAAGAATCTGAATATTGGGGAATCAGCCAGATGAAAGTACTTGGTGAAGTTATTACTGCTGCTTTATTTCGGGTATTATCAGTAATATTAAGATTTGGGTATTTTGAAGGTATTTTTATTTTCAAAGTTGATTACTCTTTCAAGGAATTAACACACCACACAAAGAGGAGTGGTGCGAGTTGGTTGATTTTTTGATAGTTAAACACTATACGTTAGAGTATTTTTACGGTAATTTTGTATTTTATTACTTTCGAATATTAAAATTCTGCAACTGCTGGATATATGTAATTCATATAAAATTTAAAACATGGAATTATGCAGCTGCTATTATCAAATTGAAACTGTAATCATAATGTGTCATTACATTTTTGAAACATTTTGTTTGCTATCCTCTTCATTCTATTCCATTCTGCAAGAAGCACAGTTTCAAGACAATATTAATATGATAGGAAGGTAATTTTCAGGATAATTTGGAATGGAACCATCCATTGTAAATGGAATCTTTACATTTCAAGGCTTCCATTCCATGCTCGACATTTGAAATCTACATTTTTGTTGAAGGCCACATGCCCCATGCTGTCCAAATTTCAATTTTTTGATTGGGCAGATTTCATTATTTTTTGAGTGTTCATTAAGAAAGATGAAAGGTTTAGGACATGCTACAATGCGGTTTCAGTTTAAATAGCTCCATGGATTTAAAAAAACATGAAGTAGTCGCACCTTGTATATAAAAAAAGGTATACAAAATATCGTAAACACACTAGCTTACTGGAGAAGATGGAGAGGGTCTACATTTAGCAAAAAATCGTCCAAACCAAGCGACTGATTTTGGAAAAAATATGCTGTATCCTTGGCTATTTTTTAATGGTGTGTAAATTGTTTTAAAATATTTTAAAAGAGATTGGTAGAATGCATATATGCTTACACTTTGCACATCGTATTTGAAGTTCCTTGATTTACACATTTGTGTTTTGCATTCTTAAACGTCTTAACTTTTGAGATAATGTTTTCAATATAGATAGCTACTGGCACGTCACTGACTTCTTGAATTATATATAAAAAAATAAAATCTGTAATCATTTATGAGCAGCTTTGATCTCTTGAATTTTTTTATTCCGACTCTTGGTAATCTAAAAAAAAAAATAAAAGCGCTTTCTCTGCATGATGATATTGTCATGTTAACGATATTATTATAATCGTGTAGAGAATGAAATTTTTTTGATCTTAGTGTATTTATAAGACAAAAAATGGTTTCTGGGTATCTGAACTTAAGAATTTCCATTATTAAGATAGTACCTAGAGAGGCGCTATTGGAATCTCTTTTGGCTATACAAAATGACTTCGGGGGACGGAGCCAAGGATTACTTATTTGTATCATATTGACACAGGTCTGACTTAAGTTTCATTAGTCGCTATTCAGCATTTAAGAAAGTTCTGAGCATGGCCCAGTATCTTGTGATTACAGTATACCTACATGTGAAATATCATGCCTGCCAATTTTATTGTATTAATAGTGGAACGCATACAGGGTATCATCAGACCATTTCCGTCATTTAATAGGTATATTATCTATACCTACATCCATATCTATTAGATCCTGGACACTTCACACAAAATATATTCAAATACTTCACAACTTACCACATTAGTAGTTTTGTAACATGTGAGAGTTATTATTAATATTTGCACAATGTACACAGCAATCCAGTTTACCCAAACTATCACAGATACTATTGCACCATTTGTCTAAAAAATCTTGTATTTAGAAAATTATCACTAGATTGCATACAGAAAATGAGAAAATGGACGCATTTTTGGAAGTACAACGCTTCGAGTGCCCGTTTGTAGTGTTTGCATAATGCATATACCTGCTGACAAAAGGTGCTTTCGTTTTCTGAACATTCTCTCATACAATTTATGGTAATCTCATTGACAAACAACGAGTTTGAGGACATCAAAGATAACTGGCTAACTGGCAGCTTTAAAATTTAAGGCCAGCGAAATACAACATAATGCTTATCTTAGAACTGGAAACTATCTGTTGGCCCTGACAATATTCCTTTATATTTCTTAAAAAATGTATATTTGCTTTGGCAAAATCATTGTGCTGTTTGCTTAATAAATCACTGCACTCGGGAGAACTTTGAAATTACTTGAGACAAAGCTTTTTTTACGCTCAGTCGGGGAATAAGAATATTGTTGAAAACTAGCGTGCGGTGTGTATTTAGCCATATGTGTATATCTCTAAATTAATGGTTTGCTTGATGAATAAATCTATACAACATTAATTTAAAAGTATTATTGTCAATCAACAACATGGTTTGCATCAGGGTAAGTCAACTTGTACCAATTTGATGTTTTATAGTAACTATTTATGCAGTTCAATCGAACAAGGTCAGCAGGTGGACTCTGTTTAGTGTTCGAAAGAGTTAACCATTCAATACTACTGCCCAAACTTTACAACTATGGTGTTCAGGGTCAGTTCTTGAATTGGATAAGAAGTTACTAATATGATAGATCTCAGGTGGCAAGATATGGTGGGTGTAGATCTCGCAGTGTTCGTGTAATTTCTGGAGTCCCGCAGTGTTCTCAGTTAGGTCCGTTATTATTAATTTAATATATATAAAGAGAAAAGAATCATGCGGAGAAAGGTACATCCGAACTTGAGGAAACACCACACACATCTTTGTTTCCTTAGGTTACACCCGTATCCGGATGTATGGGCATGTGTATCTACTTTTGTAGTTGCATATGTGCATTCATTTCGGGCCTGATGAAGCCAACCAGCTGAAATGCGTATCGCTCGGGTTACCTAACCTATTTTCTGCTCGAATTCACTTTCCTTGTTTTTGCGGATTTTGCCCATTATTTTTCTATTTGTTATATATATATATATATTCATAGTTAATTGGCTTAACTGTTAGGAGAAAATATGCTTGAATTTCTTTGGGTAGAAGGCAAAGTATTGCATCGCCTGGAGTAAGTCGGCGAGATTGTTGCTGAAATTGTTTTTAAACAACAGTGAAAGGAACACATAGTCGACGAATAAAAAACTGGACTGATGAGGTTAGATTAGGACGGAATTATTTTATTATTAAATGGCAAATCATAGCTGTTTTTTTTTTATTTTTGAAAAAGTTTTTTACTTTAACGTTGATTGATTTTGGAAGAGGTTTGAAAATTTGAAAACTATCAACTGAATATTCCTTCGAGATTTCATCTTTTTTTTTTCCACTGATAACCTCCAATTTATCCAACACGGCCGGCTGACCTTTCTCCGCATGATCATTTTCTCTCTCTCTCTCTCTCTCTGTCTCTCTGTCTCTATAGATATATATTAGATATAATAAATAAAAAAATAATGGGCAAAATCCGCAAAAACAAGGAAAGTGAATTCGAGCAGAAAATAGGATAGGTAACCCGAACGATACGCATTACAGCTGGTTAGCTTCATCAGGCCCGAAATGAATGCACATATGCAACTACAAAAGTAGATACACATGCCCATACATCCGGATACGGGTGTAACCTGAGGAAACAAAGATGGAAAGGAAAAAATGATACACGAAGTCCACAACAAGAACCAACCTACACGTTGTAGTATAAAATGGCTAGAAGACCTCGAATTTTCAAGGCGACACCTAACCACAACCACGCGGCCGGTTATAGCCACTTGCCGTGGTACTTGCATCTACAAAGAGAAAGTGATGAGAAACCCCTTTTTAGGGATAAATGTAACACTTCTTTAAAATCCGATAATTTGAGTCATAGCCAACTTTCGAAAAATTTTTAGGATAGTTCAAAGATCGAAAGGATGCATAGAAAAATTTCCAAGATCAAAAATTGAGTATCTGACATAGCCCTAAACTTTGCTAAAAAACTGCCTTTCTGTTCACACCCTGTATAAGTGGATAAATAAAAGAAATATACCCGCCTGTACGTGTTCTCAAAGAGTTGGTCAAGAATCTTCTGAATACCGCAACTCGATATCTCTTTCCGTTCCGAAAATATGGAGATTTGAATTTGGGTAAAATTTTCCATGTTGCAAAGCAACTGTCCACCAGTTTATACATATAGAACACTAAATATACAGGGTGTTTCAGAACTATGGTAGGGGTTATTCAGTGTAACAGCAGCAAACATTTGAGTATAGGGACCCAATCCGGAAAAGTGTCACTACGGCCATAAGACGCGTTAAAATTTAGAAAAACGATGAATTACCTAAATAGGATATAATGCATTTAATTTTTGTCTGTTGTACATGATATCAACACAACAATTGTTCAAAATATCTTCCTCCAACCTGAATAGACCATTCCTGTGGGGACACGTAAAGTCTTTGGTTTACGAAACTCCAGTAGAAACAGAGCAAGACTTAATTGGACGAATTACAGCAGCATTTGAAATCATTCAAAACGATCAAATTTTTAGTAAAGTCCGCCGAAATCATGTGCGACGTTTAAATCGGTGTATTCAGGTTGGAGGAAGACATTTTGAACAATTGTGATGATATCATGTACAAAAGGCAAAAATTAAATGCATTAAATCCTATTTAGGCATTTCATCGTCTTTCTAAATTTGAACGCGTCTTAGGGCCGTAGTGCCGTAGTGACACTTTTCCGGATATGGGTCCCTATACTCAAATGTTTTCTACTGTTACACTGAATAACCCCTAGAAGTTTGATACCTTAGTTCTGAAACACCCTGTATAATAATGTTACAATTTTTTTTTAAGAAAATGTCATCTAAAGCTCTCTCATGAAGATACGGACCTCAAAATGGCGTTACTAGAAAATTGCATTTCTTGAATAAATTTTTACATTGTGCAATTTAACGAAATTTGGCAGCTTAGTTACCAGTTGGGGTCTCATATGATGGTGTCTTTGGCAGACTGCCAACTCGTTTAGATCGCAATATTACTGATCTTTTACAGCCTGGATAATATTGGTTCAAAAAGAATATTTTTGTAGAGCCTAATTATTGAGCTGAAAACACATCCTTGTTTGATTCCGATCATTTGAACCGTTTTTTGAGAAAAACTTTTGTTTCAATACCGATTGATCATGTGACTTGAAAATTCATATCCAGTACATTACTGGTCGCTGATTGAGAACTTATAAAAATTGTTATATTTTAAAAATGGCTCAAACAGTATACCGGATCCAGTACCAAAATTGATAGGACTGTACTGGAACGAGGGAATTTTTTTCAAAAACTACCAAAGGATATATTTTGTTCAACTTAAAGATGGGTCTTTCCGAAATTATTACTGTTAAGTTATTATTATTAAAAACAGATGGAGACCTAAATGACTTGATTGCTTTTTGGTTAATACCTCAAAATGTCATTGATATAAGCAGGTATTTATGAAAAACCGATTTCCAATAACTTGCCTATACTTCTATTTTAAATTGTTCTTACTTTAATGTCATCATATGCACATATTATGGCTGAAATCACATTAATAAATAGTGTGCAGTATGTTGCAATTAACTGTGGTGCAAATATCACATTATATGTTCTTATAATTTCTGCTGTCTTGTTATAGATTTCCATGCAATACTTGATTTTTGTAAGCTGTTTGTGGTTTTCTGAATAACCTGCAATCAATCAGATCAGAGTCAGAGTTTAATAAGTATTCTCAAAACTTACCCTTATAAGTGATGAATATTAACTGATCATTTTTCAGAAACCTTATCATCTCCATGTTTAGCATTCTGAATTTCTCTTGAACCATTTTCAATAAAACACAATACTCGTATACAAAAAAATATCGGACAAATATAGGTAGACTTAATCTAAATTCCAGTTTCAAACTAACTGTTTCCCGAAAGTGATATGCAGTTAAAATTGCGCTGTATGGTATCATAAGTACTCCATATATAAGTATTGCTCTGTCGAAGTTTTTGAGACTATTGTATCTCACTTGAGCTCCTAAGTTACAGAACACTGTATCAATTTTTGAGCTAGTATTGATAGTGCTTACAAGCCATTTGTCAATAACGCAACCAACTGCATAAATTGTAATAAATGCTACCACGTTGCCAGTATCTATCAATTTAATCACTGTATACATCACCGTGTAGTTATAATCCACCTTTATAGTTACGTTTCTATCATTACTTGTTTCATTGAGCCAAATAAGAGCTGCTACATATATGCCTGACAAAAACATGAGTCTATACTTTTGATTCACGTACTTGGATCCATTTACACATTCCAATTTTATATGTGCAAGACCAAGTAAATTACTCACTATTAAACAACATTTTAGTGAGTCATATGTGCTTTCATTTACATCAGTTGATCTGGAATGTACGATAGTCATGGTGGCAATATAGATGATCTGTTGATGCACCATGTATAAGTATAGCCTGAAACAATTTGTCATTTTATGGTCTATTATTCATAGAGCAATAAAGAATATTAGTGGCTATATTTCTGTTCTGTTCTAGGCAGAAAAACAGGCTGAAATGGAAATTGCACCTTCTGCAGAATCTGTTGAGGAAATTATTAAGCCAGTTGCTTTGCCTCCATTAGTACAGGTAACTAACTCATTACCATTAAAATTACATAAGATTTCGATATCTTCAAATTTAACGTTTAAGCATTTCTGGCAAATGTGAAAGTTTTTACGCATCAAATTCAGAACTAAGAAATGACATATAGGTCTTTCCACCGATTTTTTTGTCATGCCATACAAGTAAACATATCGACCAACCAACCATAAGGAGACCTCAACCTTCCTAAGCTAAAAAGCACACTGTGCAAACTGATTTTCAATCCAACTGCCACTCGGTCTTAAAGTAGGTAGGGAGGTTATTTTTATTACTCTCTCGAGTTTTCCTTAGAGTGCCATGTTTGTGAGATGATGTTTTAGGTCTAGAGCTACTTATAACAATTGGTCTGCTGTTTAACCTATCCAATGTAAATTTCTCAACCAAGATAGTTTTTGTCGACCTGTCAATTCCTTACCTTCGATTTTGCCCTGAACAATAGACAAATATTTGATGGAGTATGTTGGTATCAAATTCTTTGAAGAACATCTCCGTTTTTTAGTTTTACTGGTCCACTGTATTTTGAGTATTTTTCGATACATCCACATTTCAAATATCTCTACTTTATTCATGTTAGCAGGCCTGGATGGACGAAACCCTTAGCTATCCAGCATAAAAATATTTGAAATTATGTAGCCTTACCAAGATCTGATGGTTCAAATCATTGATATAGAATCTCTAGGGGATATGGCATAACGTTTTTGGTCATGAGATCAGATCAAGAGCAATAGTGGCGGATATAGTTCAAACTGTCAACGTGACATTCGTTTATATTTCCTAAGGGTTATTTTGGAAATTGATCGTTGTGTACGCTATTTTTTTTGTTATATTATGTGTGGTATCATAAGTAAACATTGGGTCTTGCGCCATGAACTCATATTCTTGAACAATGGAATAGAATCACTGAGATAAAGTGGACGAGGGAAATAAACAAATTCTGACAGCTGTTGACATTTGTTCAACAAGTTTGTGTAATGCACTCATTTTTGGAAAAATAATACGTTCCTCGGTTACTAATATCATGAAACGTTCCATCCAATTTAACTTCATCTCTATGATGGACGACGGCGAGACTTACGCACGTTTTCTCTCGAGAATGATTCGAATGAAGAAGTGGTTTTAACGAAAATAGTGTTTCAGGTTCCAAGGCATTTTCTGAATCCAAACTGCTCTTCACTCATTATTGTCTCGCACTTGCTGTGAATTCTGTTGAGAATGATATGCAAAAGTGTTTTAAGCGCATGCCTCATCAAGCTAATGAGCATGTATCTTAACATTTGGGAAGAGGAATAAAAATCGACATTAACATAGAATTTCGCTGATATAAATTTGATTTGGCAAAATAGTGAGCTCCTTATTGTTATTTTCTGAAAGTAATTTCAGCTGTTTACTGTATATTGCTTCTGGTTCACTTGTAGGTTTTGGCTTGGTTTATGGTGTTTTCCACTTCAGCTTTCAAGATTGATGGTCCTGTATTCGAACTTAAATTTGGTAGCGACTCTCGATTATCCTTAAACAAGATTTTAATTTAGCTCTCCCATTCATCCATTCTCCCAAATACAGTACATGTCCGCCATTGTTAGTTAACATTATAGACGTATACGGTTATGCAGTAAGCTCCTTTATGTTCTTGAGTGTATTAAATACGTGTTTTTTCACATTTTTCACACATCCTTATCTCTTTGACTTCTCTGATTTTTTCTCTGAATTTCTTTCAATTACTTGTTTTCGCTCCTTCATCATTTTAATTGTGTTATCCATTATGCATGCTTCTTCCCTATAAAGATCAGTTGTTTAACTTTGGATTGCTTTATTAAAGATACCTTTTTTATGTTATCCCAACGTCCGTACATTGTTTCTGGAAATACTCCAATAAATTCAGCCTATTACCTAGGTTATCTAAGTACATATTGCATTTTCGGATAATGCTGTATTTCCAGGGTTGGTAAAAATCAAAATTGTTTTGGAAAAAACAAAATAGCCCTTTCTGGTTTAAACCAGATTTATTTAGTGTAAACAATTTGCGCTTAAATATTGACCGAAACTAATAGAAATTGAACAATATATAATTGTATAGTTGCTTTTAGACATTTTTCACACCTGTATATAGGTCTCAGGTGGATAGCATTATTTGATAGAAGGAAAGCAGGTTCTGTGAAAAGTGGCTAAAGAAGATCATATCTAAAGGCAACTAAACACATACATACTTACATAAAAACACAAACATATTGCACAGCTTTTTTTGTTTGTATTCATACGTGAGAAAGGAATAAACGTAAAGTACTAACTGTTAAACTAAAACTTGAGATAAAATTTAATAGAAAAATTATTAATATATTTTACATACAGTATCAGACAAAATTAGAGAGACTACACTAATTATAACTTTTAAGGAATACAGAAATATATTGAATTTTTGTAATTGATATATAAAAGATTCATGTCATTAAGTAGTTTCAAATGATACTAAAACAAATTCATAAATGTTTCCAAAGATTTATTAGAGAAAATTAAAAAATATAAAAAATTATTTGCGACAAAATTAGAAATACTTATCCTTAAAATACATTTGTAACCTATATTAATTAAACTGAACTTATGACATCTATTTGGCATCGACCCAATGAGATTGGAAATTATAGCTGGATCCATTGATTTCTAAGCATTTTCAATCTCTTCAAATAACTGAGCATGATTGCTGATATTTTTCGTTCGAATCTTTTTATCAATTATCTCCCAAAGATTTTCAATGGAGTCCGGTGATTGCGGTGGCCATTTTAAAACTTGAATTTTATTTGCCACAAACCATTCCTTCACGAGTTTGGCAGTATGTTTGGGGCCATTATCATGTTGGAACGTAAACTTTAGCGGCATTTCTCATTCGGCGTAAGGCAACATTACATCTTCCAATATACATGAATCGATCCAATGGTGCCCTCAATTTGGATTGGACCCATTCCGTAACCCGAAAAACAACCTCAAACCATTATATTGCCGCCTCCCTGCTTAACGGTACCACAAACATATTCTGGATCAAGTCTTTTATTTGCTGGACGATGTACGAACTGCAGTCCGTCACTTCCAGAAATATCAAACTTAGACTCGGCACTAAACAAAACCTTGTTCCAGTCCTTAGCTGCCCTGTGGCGGTGTCGTGTTGCAAATATCATCCTAGCAATCACATTTCTTTTGATAGATGGGGTTTTCTAGCTAGTCTCCTTCCAGTGAGCCCCGCCTCAACTAATCGCCGCTGAACAGTCCTAGATGAAACTCCCGGAGCATCCAACTGACCAAAAATTTGATTTGCAGACAGCCGAGGGTTTTTCTGACTCAAACGCTTAATTCTCCTGTCCAACTGTTTTGAAGTTTTTCTCTTCCGGCCATTTTTCTTAAGAACAACCCTTCCACGGAGTCAAATATTTTGTATTCTTGAAATCATTTATTTATTTATATTAAATTGCTGTTTTATTCATTTTTGCGAGCGACTTGATTTATAAGCTTCTATAATTTTTTGTTGTTTCAATCCAACACTTGACCAACTGCACCTCAGCGAAACTAAATACAAAACGAGTCACTCTAATTTTGTCGCAGGTATTTCTTTATCAATATACTAAAAATTCCTAAAACGAAAATACCATCAGGTACACAAATAAACTGTTGATAATAAAATTCTTTTGGTCGCCGGTAATACACTGCTTAACAAAATATAATTATTAATTAAATTATTTTAAGTACAGAAAACTGGAATGAACAAATAGCGCAGTCTCTCTAATTTTAAATAAAAAAACTAATTTCGAAGCATTTTCAGTGCTCAGTCTCTTATGTACCTTACTTTGTGTGCCAAAAGAAGAAAACATTCTTTCAGCACCTGCTAAAGCTGCTTGTGCGATGTGTAGTTATTCATTGATATCAATAATTTTATCATTTACACTTTATCAATATCATTTTTTTTTGCTTCTCCATCCCTCAATTGTTGTCCCTTTTGAGAATTTTTTTGAAATTGAGCACATGAAAATTTACAATTAATCGTAATAAATCTTTATTTCAAAATAACAGTGCATCATTACTGTGTATTGCACTTTTAAGTGAAATAAACGTCACAGCGTCAACAAGACAGGAAAACAAACCAAAAAACAAAAAGGCAAACATGTAACATATACAGAATTTACATTTCAAAATATTCTTGAAGGTCATATGGTTCTAAGTCCTTTAAAAATTGATGAATACTCTCTTTATATTCAGTTATATCGGACATTTTTTTCGGTAACGGTGAGTTGATGGATTGGATATAGAAGATTTATATTTCTATTTCTTGTGTTATAATCACTTTGTGGGTTGCCGATAAAATTGTCAATGTTTTTAAATCTAAAAATTAGTATCGTTTGAATATATGTTGCGACTACAGTTAAAATTTTAGAACTCTTAAATTTCTCTCTCTCTAAAGGACATTTTTAGGATGCACTTCAGCACTCACTTCTGTACTAGAAAGATCCTATTGGTATGGCTACTATGTCCACAGAAAATTATGCCAAAACATGCAATGGACTCAAAATTCGCACAATATACCATTTCTGGTGTATTAAGGTTGTTTAACCTTATATCTAGATGTTCTATATGTTTAGCCCAGGAAAGTGCTTGGTCAATATAGACTCCCAAGAATTTCCCACAGTCTGGCAGCGGGCCTTCTATTCTTTCGCCTAAAGCGATGTGTGTAGCTTCCATTTTTTTGTTAGCTTAAATGCAGTCTCATTTGTTTTGAGATATTCAGGGATTACGAGCAAACCACAAAAACGCTTTCTCGCAAAATACTTCCAGCTACATGGTTGAAATCTTGGCGAGAGACCCGTACACTAGTGTCATCAGCATATTGGATCGTTTATACATTATTTGGGCTTGTAGTACTAGCACTCAGATCGTTCACAAAAAATAAAAAGAGGAGAGGTCCTAAGACGCTACCTTGTGGAATACCTGTTTCTACCGTTAACTGTGTTTATTAGCAGTATATCATACCGAATATAAGGTCACTAAATCTGGTGAAAAAGGGTGTATTTAAGGTGCTAGTGAGGTGATTTTGACAGTAGTTGATTGAACAAAAAAAAAAATTAATTTTGACAAACTAAAAAGAAAGTTTGTGTAAACAATTTACAGTTTATTAGAAACCGAGGCAAAACTAAAAATTGTGTGTCTGTGTATTCACACAAACGTCCGCAGAGTGTATGTGCTTGTGCATGTAAGAGAGAGATGGAGATGTGAAGGTGAAACTAGTAGTTTCACTGTGACTCACTAAAATCCTTGAAAAGACCTATACTTTTGACGACAGTTCAGATATTTTGCTCATCTAGTCACTCTGCAGAAAATCGGTCACTCATTTTTTAAGTTGTTCTGTAATCGCAGTCAAATGATGGCGTGATGGCTTCTTGAAACTGTATCAGTATTATCACAAATGAAGTTACAAAATGAAGCATCTGAAAAATATTTTATTAACGATACTTGTTTATTATGCATATGAATACTTTACCTTTAATACTATTACTCCGTTTATTCTAAATAACCCTCCAACAGTGTAAGTGTACCGATTGCACAGTACTTGCTCAGAAAATATTAATAACTACAAAGTGAAAATGTTTTATCGAAATACATGTTGTTTCGCATTAGAACCGACACAGAGCAAACAGGGGCATGTAGGGAATCCAAAATAATGTAATTTAGTGCATCTGACTTGTATACCAAATTGGACCCCTGATGAGTTATAGGCCATAAATGTGGGATTTCAAATTTCGATAAAATCAACATCTTAGGTATTCTTGAAAATCACATTTGGGACCCGTTTTGAGTGTATCAAACAGGATCAATCGACGATCATTAAATTTCAATTGAAGCATTTTAAGGGTTGAAAAGTGATGGTGCATCCTTGAAATGTAACGTGTAACTGAATTTTTCAACACGTTGGCGTACTTTATTTTATGCAGAATTTCATTCTCAAACCTTGATTAATCTTGTTATTTTTCAAAAAACTGAAATGGCAGCTGTGTTATTTAAAATTAAAATTATAGAAAATTGAAACGTTGGCTATGAAATTAAACGTCAGACTTGATAATTAGGTAAAAAGTTAGAGCAAAAATACTTTAATATAAAAACAAAAACTTAAACCATAGAAATGACACATAATTTATTTGCACCAAAAAGTTACATAAACTGTTCAGTTAGGTTAAAACGCAGAAAAACAAAAAACTAATAGAAAAACAAGCAACTTAAACAATAAAAATAACACAATTTGCACTGATCAAGTTACAGAAATTGTTCAAAATCTACACCTTATATGCCAAAAGCATCAAGTCGTTTTAGCTGTAGCCTGTGATATAGGCAATTCAAGATTGTCTTTTTTATTAAAATGCACCGATTTGTTCTTATAAATGTTTGATATAGCCATTGTTACTGGCACTGCTAAGATGAATCCAACAACACCTCATATGTCGAAATCCACCAAGCTGTTCAAGCTGTAGTGGGTGCAATAGGAATTTAAAGGTCGATTTTTTTTTAATTAAAATTCACCATTTTGTTTTTATAAAATTTTAATGTAGCCAGAGCCACTCACATTGCTAAGATGAATCGAACAACAGTGTCAAAATTCATCAAGCCATTCAAGCTGCAGCCTGTGAAACAGGAATATCAAGACTGAGATTTTTATTAGTGTCCGTCATTTTGTTTTGATACAATTTTATTACAGCTAGTGTCACTCGCACAACTAAGAAGAATCCACCGACACCTCATTTGTCAAAATCCATCAAATCGTTTAGCCTGTAGCCCCCGAATAAGAATTTTTTGGACTGCATAGATACAAACCCACGCTTGAAAAAACATAGCCATCTGCCTAAGGCAGTCGAGTAATTGAATAATTTACTTTCTTGATTGCCAAATCTGACGTTGAATATCATAGCTAACAAAACAAATTCTACATGAACTAAAGTAATTATTTTTTTAAGTCAACCTGTTAAAAAATTCATTTACATTTCGTACCATCCACTTTCAGCCCTTAAAAATACGCCAACTCAACTTTAATTACTGTCGATTAATCTTCTTTGATACACTCAAAATGTGCACTAAATTTTCTTTTTCTAGGTTCAAGAATATTGAATAAATGAATTATGAAATTAGAGGCATGTCGGCCACCATGAGGAGCCGTTGCATATGCCACTTAGACGGGCCCTCATGCACCCGTACATTCCCTAAAACTCAAGCCCCGCCCTTCTAGCAAAGTTGAGTATAACTTTGAGTCCCAGCTCCTTAACGTTCTGGGGGCCAAAGTAATGAACCCCAGTATAGTCTGCCTGTAGTTGCTGAGAGCCTCACCGCGACAAAAGCGTCCATCCTTAGTGCTGGGCCTAGGAAGAGTTTCCGTGACTGATGGAGATGTCTGGAGATGCTTCTCTATTTCTGAGAGTGTTTTCTTGTAATCCACTTCTCCATTTTCCTCCTAACTCTTTGCGCGAACACCACTAAGGCTGGCTCAGGACAAGCTTGGTGGTTGATCCTGCTTTCGCAAGAGCGTCCGCCGTATCTTGCCTTTTATCCCAGCGTGCCCCGGTACCCACACTAATGATCCGGATGCATTGTTGCTAGGCAATCCAGAGCCTCCCTGCGTTGCAATACAAGGCTCGAAGTAATCTTCCAGGCACTTAGTGTTCATTGCAGTCTGACGGAGAAGGTGTTTATTCTTCTCCTAGGCCTCCCCCCCGTCCAAAATGCGGGATCCGCAAGCCAGAATGTCAAAGATTTCTGCCTGGAAAATAGTGTTGTAACCAAGGTTCAAGAATAACTGTGATATTTTTTTGAAGTTTGAAACCACACGGACTTGTTAAAGGTGAAATTTAGTATACAGGTAAGTTATCCTAAATTACAATATTTGGTTCCTCTTCAAGCCCCTGTTTTGTGTCGGTTTTTATGCGAAACACTCTGTGTATGTAGAACTATGTAACTTACCTCTTTTTCTATCTCTAGGCTTTCACTGTATATTAAAATTTTGTGTAAGTGTATCCCTAATCTTTTTGCCTAAAAACAAAAAAATCACATTCACTAGTCAGTCGAACGAATCTTATTCTGAATTTTCCACTCCGTTTTAATTACCTCCGTGATACTTAAGTGACAGATGACACTCATTCTTATAACTCCTAAGCTTTTTTGTACTGCCCAAGCAGTACATATAAGGTAAATATCATTCTGGGCGTCATGCTAAAAAATGTATGTATTTCAATGGTATTAAATATAATTTGCTTCTGAGGTCACTGAATCTTAAAAGCAAATATTTAAGTGCTGCTCATTCGCATGTTTGCTATTCATTATTTTTTGAGCCATATGTTAATGTCCAGTTAGCATTACTCACTTTCCAATACATATAATATATTGATAAGACCAATAGGACTACTCCATTCGTGAACACAAGAAAAATTGGTATATTGAAAACTGCATTTATTTTTTTAGTGGCATCTAGTAAGAGCAGGTGTATTTTCATCAATATTTTTATTCTTTGCACAGAGTTTATAGGTGATACTCCTATCATTCCTAAAACAAGAACAGGAATTGTATAAAATAATCTCATACCTGACGACCCAATTATCGCTACATTTCTTACTTTTATGAAAACGCTTCACTTCATCGTTCACTATGAAGCTTCTCATATATACTGCCTCCACCACGAAACAAAACTGATACAATGCAACTTTCTGAATGATCTCTGGGTATGCAATAACTAATGATAATACTATTGGTAGATTCCGTAAACAAGCTGCTATGACCGATACAATCGGTGTATTTTCTAAGAGCATATAAACCACTTGATAAATAATAACCTTCTTGTGTGATACCTTACTGCAGTTCATCTTTCGAAGCATGCCGTCAACGTTATTGAGCGAATTTAAGATCTGTTTGAAATAACTCGTTTTAAATAAACTTGCAATTCCAGAAGCATATCCGCATATGACCATCAAATAGATATAATACTTTACAATGTGAATGTTGATAGATCTTTCCATGGATATCACTACATCATTTATATTTATGTAACATACCGCTGAACTATATAAAATCAAATAACAAATTGTTATTAGATGGTTCTTTTTGGGAGAAATCAGTTTAAGGTCATGTTTGATTTTCATTGCTATAGGGTGCATTCCAGCTATTAAAGACAAAGTGATTAAAGGTAGAGCGGAAAGGTAGAACGTATTCATATTTTGTCTGGAAGAGACTTCTGTGTGGTAGCTGTAATACTTCAATATCCTATTCGTCTATTAAAAATGTAACAAAGATTAGCATCTAAATGGAACTAGTTTAAGTGGATTATAGTATTATGAATATTCTTACAAGATCAAAATCTCTATGGAAATATGAGTTTGAAATTACTCAAGCTGAATGGTGATGTATAGATGGTATGGATTTATAGACAACTTCTTTGTAAGTAATGAAACCAGACTGTACGTGGACTGTCATCAGTTGGATTTATCAACTTTCGTGTAGAATATTTCAAAGCCCAAAAGATTATTTTCCATTCTATAGTAACATTTCATTGTTGTTCAAATTTCACATGTCACATGTCTATTTAACGTTTTCTTTGTTTTATAAAATGAAAAACGGAATGATACAGGGTGTTTCAGAACTATGGGATCAAACTTGTAGGGGTTATTCAATGTAACAGTAGAAAACATTTGAGTATAGGGACCCATATCCGGAAAAGTGTCACTACGGCCCTAAGACGCGTTAAAATTTAGAAAGACGATGAATTGCCTAAATAGGATTTAATGCATTTAATTTTTGCCTTTTGTACATGATATCATCACAACAATTGTTCAAAATGTCTTCCTCCAACCTGAATACACCGTTCCTGTGGGGACATGTAAAGCGTTTGGTTTACGAAACTCTAGTAGAAACAGAGCAAGACTTAATTGGACGAATTACAGCAGCATTTGAAATCATTCAAAACGAATATCAAATTTTTAGTCAAGTTCGCCGAAATCATGTGCGACGTTTAATTCGGGCCGTAGTGCCGTAGTGACACTTTTCCGGATATGGGTCCCTATACTCAAATGTTTTCTACTGTTACACTGAATAAAGCCTAGAAGTTTGATCCCTTAGTTCTGAAGCACCCTGTATAGGAAAACATCAGAACGACCGGATTTATGAACTAACGAATCGAATATTTCAACAACGAGACAGTAGATTTTATTTTGAGACAACGTTGCATTGCCCTGTATGTCTCACATGATCCATTTTTAAACTTTAAAGGTGTTTTGTATGGAAATTGGGATGTGTTCATTGACGTATCACGGGGAGGGGAGGCTTTAGGATTTAAGCCCCCCGCAGAACCCCACTGCCTAATACAGTGTGTCTAAGTGACCCCCTCAATTTGAGGCTGGTTCCGCCCTCAGCCTCCCTCAAAACCTATTTTCTGGATACGTCAGAGCCTAATCTAGAGACACATATCACAATCCATTGAGCTATTTATGCTGTAGCCCGAGAAATGGACATTTTAATGTTGAAATGTTCGGTTTAAATCCGCCATTTTGATTTTATAAAACTTTTATGTATCCAGTGTTACTCGTGCTGGTAAGACCAATCTAACATCTCATATGTCAAAAACCATCAAACCGTTTAGACTATATCTCGTCAAATAAAATTATTCTTGATCACACACATACATAAACACGCGCGAAATACATGACCCTCCTTGTGAAAATAAATGTTCAGGAGTTTATGTAGATTGTGACTATACCTGAAATTGTTGGTAATACTTTACCGACCATTTTTATTATATAATCTAATCTACAATCTAATACCTAATTACATTTTGTGGGGGAACTCTCATGCTTTGTTATCATACATACCATCTTAGTTTGAAAGTTTCGACTTTTCTTTCCAGAAACAACTACGCTGCGAATGACAATTGTAACAAAGTAGCAAGGGCGGATTAAGGATTTCGTCTAGGAGGGGGGGCGCAAACGATATTTGGGGCTGGTCATTTTTTAACCTCGGTGGAACTTCTAGAATCTATTGTATTATTGCTCCTTAAATCGATTGTGTTCTATCTGGTCAAGGCCAGCTTGAAAAACAACATGGAAAACGCTCGGAAATCCTCAGAAAGGCAATATTTTATTATATGAGAATAAAATAAGTACGTGGCATTTATAATTAACAAGTGTAAAAATATTGAAGATTTAAGCATCCCACAAACCGGCGCGAAATATTCGCTTTGGCTGCGAAAATTTCGCGGCGATTAATTCGCGATCAGATTAAAACGCGGCGGTTTACGGACAGGCTCAGACTTGTGCGAAGCGAATGCGATTGTTCCAGCGTTTTTATCGCGGCGTATTTCAGTTCGCCTTTGACCGCGTTTTTGACGCCGTTCTTCAAAAATTCGCAATGGCAAAAACGGAATTATTGATAGAAATAGTGAAAAAGCATCCTTGTTTGTATGATTTGTCGAACGATGAATACAGGAATGTGAGAAAGAAATACAAGATTTGGATGGAAATAGGAAAAGAATTGAATACAAATGGTATGTACCTAATATTTTTTATTAACTTGTTAAATAATTTACAGTCTACACAAATGTGAAAACGAACATTCTATATATTGGGCATAGGCATATCAGAATTAGAATAATTTACGAATTTGTCACGAGTAGAAAATGCTAGCCTTGCTTCCCGCCGAGGATCATTTGCTATATCAGTAAAAGCTCCAAGCACGGGTTCTGGGGATATAAGAATTGAAAATATTTGTCATCGCCACTTTTACTTCGTAAAAAATTGTGTGAAACACATGCCGTACGTACAATTAGAATAGTAGTATCTACTTTAGTTTCTAATGGCCTGTAAAATATTCGCCATTTTTGAGGCAAAATACCAAACGCATTTTCCACGACCCTTCTAGCTCGACAAAGTCTTACATTGTATTTCTCTTTTCTGACGTCTGTTAAAATCTGCTTATAAGGAAATGGTCTCATAAGGTATGGTTTTAAAGCAAATGCTTCATCACCAATTAAGACTTATGAGCAGATTTCATTTTGCCCAGGGAGAAATCTAGGTGCAGGGACACTCATTAAATTTTGTTCAAATCGTTTTCCCATGTTTGAGGTTTCGAAAATACCCCCATCACTATTTTTTCCGAAACCACCAATATCAACACATATAAATTTATAGTCCGGGCCAACAATGGCCAAATGTACTATTGAATATTTATGTAAATGGCACCAGTAATTGGAGCCACTGTTGTTAGGTCTCTTGATTGTTACATGTTTACCGTCCACGCTGCCAATGCAATTGGGAAATCCCCATCTATTTTCAAATTCTTCAGCACATTTTTTCCATATATTCTCTGTTGGTTCTGGTAAATATATATGCTCCATATGTCTGCATATCGCTTCACAGACTTCGGTTACGATTGCACTCACAGTTGTAAAGCCAACTCGAAAGCTATGCCCAATGGTAGGTGTCACCAGTGGCAAGGAATCTATAAAAAAAATCGTTTTTAGGTGATGAAGTAAAAAAAAGGTGGAAGAATATCAGAGACACATTTGCAAAATATATAAAATCTACCAAACCAAAGACCGGCCAAGCAGTGGGCAACATAAAAAAATGGCAGTGGGCTGACTACATGGAATTTTTCCGTCCTTTTTTGGCATTTGCCAAAACGTCATCTAATGTGAAAGATATTGACGTCATACATTATGAGACTGCCGAATTTAACTCAAATATATATCAGGAAAGGGCTGGAAATGTAGAAACCGAAAATTTGGAAGACCGCGGCCATGGAGAAGATGAAAATGCTGATGTAGATGCAGAAGATGCACAGAACGCCTCGGCAACACAGACAGCACCACCTTCTTCATTGAACACTACAGCAGTGACTACTCCAGGGCACACCTTTCCGCAGACTGCAACTACACCAAAATATAAAACGAGCAGAAAACGCTACGAACCACCATCTTCGTCTGTACAACAGCTCATTAATTATTTTGAAGGTAAAAAACCTAAAAAAGAGAACGAGGCCATTGATTCCCTTTTCTTGGCACATGCACAGACTGTGAAAACACTTCCCTTAAAGCGTCATCTTTCACCAAGTTCAATATTTCATCGAAACACTGATTCTAAAATATACGTAAAAGGGCT